ACTTTAAAAAATAATGTAAACCTATAAATCATTGTACTATTTAAAAAATATGTATACATATGATCACTCTAATTAAAAATTTGATGTGGATAAATTTAATACGTCCATTTCTCAATACTCCCTACATCCTAAAATATTTGACGCCGTTGAATTTTTTAAAAATATTTGACCGTTCGTCTTATTTAAAAAATTTAAGTAATTATTAATTCTTTCCGTATCATTTGATTTATTGTTAAATATACTTTCATGTATACATATAGTTTTTACACATTTCATAAAAGTTTTTGAATAAGACGAACGGTCAAATATGTTTAAAAAAGTCAACGGTACCAAATATTTAAGGAATGAGGGAGTACTATGTTAGTTTTCAGTTTGGCACTATAAATATGCGATTTTCATTACATGTTTTCGATCCCTTCCCTCCCAGCTTTGCACCAATAATAAACACGTACTCCAGCTTTGCACGCCTGATACTACCGTGAGCCTGTGCATTTCGGGCCTACAGCTACATATAACAACACCTCCAACTGTTTTGTAAACTGTATAATATTTTTGTATCTTCGATTCTCACACGAGCACTTTGATTCCCTGTATGTATATGTTCACTGATCTAATTTACTCTTACGGGAATAGTAAATGAACGAATGATCCATGCTATGAGCAAACGGGCACAGCTAGCTAGAAATGGCTCTTCGCCTGCTCTGAAACTCATCGCACGCATTGCTTGCTTCATCTCCTGTTCTTCAATTAACTATACATAATCATCAATGATAGACTAATTACTATACATGATCATCAATCATAGACTGATTACTATTGACTGTATTTAATTTGAGTACTTGTTGATGAAGTCATATTCGATCTCTTATATGGTTATCTGAATTTTTTATGGCAATGCTGCATGTGATTCTCGTACAAACATATATTCAGCCATACATCGCGTGACACTGGTTATGTATAATACATGTGTGAAGTTGACCGATCAGCGAATATGTGTATCATCACGGATGAACGCATAAGAGATCAAGTTTTGACAATTGGGCGCAGGAGACTGTATCCTTATCTTTCGTCCAACAACTAGCTTCAAACCATGCATCACGAATGATGTTATCGCCTTATCGGGGGATAACTAATATATTTGTTCGTGAAATGCATGATTAATTCCATTCAAACAACTAATTTAATTTTGGCTACGATTAATTAGTTAACTTCTATGTTATAAGTAATGTGTTGAATGATTGCAAAGTGAACGTAGATTAACTGGTTAGATTCCTTGTGGTAGAACAAGCCTATCCGGTTCAAATTTTCGACTTGGCACATGATAGTCTACGTACCTGTCGACAATGAGACACTTGTAATGACTTCGTTAGTATCAAGAATACGTGGTCCAACCATAGAGGTAGGGTGTACGTGATTATATGAGCTCTAATATTTGTATTGTGTTGTATGATTGTAAGTAGACATACTTGCTAGAGCGGCATGATCACATATACTCCCTTTATTTTATATTGTAAGACACTTTTTTAAAATTTAAGTTTGATCAAGCTTATAGCAGAACATAGTATACCATTTTCAATCAAATAAACATACTATCGAATATATTCAATATATATTACATCTAATGAAACTAATTTGGTGTTATAAGAGTTGCTACATTTACTTATAAGCTAAGTCAAACTTATATAAGTTTCTTTTAAAAGAAATTAAAGCGACTTAGTTATAATTTGAAAAGCGGGGAGTATTTGCTAAATGTGGATCAGCAGAGCATCAATTCCGCGCTGGTGAGCCGGTAGATAGTCGATCAGGTTCGTCGCAGTTAACTAAAAAAAGGAAAATCTATGGCTACCTGACTAGATGAACAATTATGCAAATCATGATCTCGTCAAAGCCTAATCTCTACATCTGTTAATTTAACTCAATATGTTGGGGTTTCGCCTCCATTGATTCCATTAATCTACTTGCTGGCTGCAGGCCCATGCCATTATATAACAGCACCATTTTCCAAGTATGTTAAGCAAGAGGAGGCTTATATATGAACAAAAGATCTTTTGCAGTCGGCATTGATTGTAATCCGGAGTTCCTCTAGCTGAAGTACTCTGTCCCAGATTAATTAATGCGTTATCGAGATTTGGCCTTAAAATGCTATTGAGATTTGGCCTGTCTTTTAACTATTAGAGCAAGTTTAATAATATAGCCAACTACTAGCTTCAAATAATTTAGAGCCAATATAATAGCTAATTCATACAATAGCTGCTTACTATACTATTAATACCTGGTCTCACTTGTCATACACACGTTACGTCTTGAAGTCCGTACTGCAGCTGGCTACAGATCTATAACCCGCTACTCTTCTCTCTCTTCCTTTATATGTTTAAAATATATTTATATCTGGCTTATAGCCTGCTATTGTACCTGCTATTAAAATGGAGCTGTAGATCGAGATCGATCGATCATCAGTACGAGGATTCAGCATGAGGAAGTACGTTTAGCCTGCTGAACATTTGCCTATATATATTCAGATCATGTACCAAATGGTTTTAATTAATAATGGAGGCAGATCTTGTACCGATATATCTATATCTGTATGCATCGTCAAGTTGAGCGCATCGGAACATGCATTACTGGCTCTGTATGATTTGGCAGAATCTGAATCCTTGTCCATATATTGCTAGCTAGCTAGCTTGACATAAATCGATCACATGTATCCTCCTACTTGTAAATATTTTCTTTTCCTTGCTCGTGAAGCGAATCTAGCAGCATGTAGTCCCAAAAAAGATCTACACATAATTATCAGAAGCTTAAGATAATCCTGCTAAGAAATCAAGCTTCCAGGTTGTGTGTACTAGTGTAATGTTTGGTTTACCAGATCCAAACAAACAGCTTGAGGTTAGCACTTAGGAGTGGCTGTAGCAGTGAAGTTCTTCAGGTAAAGAAATGCATGGGCAAAGTGATCAGCGGTCCTTATATTGGGCCGTACAGTAAGCCCAATACGACCCGTGCGAACTGTTGACTTGGCCGCTAGCAATGGTAGCGGCCCTTTTGTTGATGGGCCAAACGGAGGCCCAACGTTTTGCTTCTAGGCCTGCTCAGCCGGAGCTCTCAGGGGGTTCGGAGAAAAAGATGCCGAACCCAATAAACGGCAAAGTATCCTACGCACACATAGGCTTCTCGTGTACACTCTCTACATACCAACTAGTAAATGTCTTAGAAAATTTTACAAAAAATATGACATGTACTCTTAATAATACTACACATATTACAAAGTCTTACATTCAAATTCATTGTATTTTAGCCGTAACAAAAAAGAGAAAAATCTAACAATTGTAAGAGTAAAAACCAGTAAGAATTGTCTTTTTTTTTTGTTACGGCTAAAATATAATAAATTTGAACATGAGATTTCATAGATAGGTGTAATACTATTGAAAGTATGTGTTTAATTTTTTATATAATTTTCTGTGCACGGGAAGCTTGTATCCGTAGTATATGTTCCCCCAATAAACACGGATTCAAAAATGCCGGCAGCCCGGCACTGGTGCTCTAGCTTGTTCTTGGGCATCGTTCAATTGGCAGCAGCACATATAGCTGCATACGGCTATATATGTATTATTTCATAGATGATTGATGATTTCTGATCGATGTCAATGCTAGTTAATTTGTTTTTGCAATTTGGACGAGCTTGGAGGTCCCTCCCGGCCCTCTGCTTATAAAAACAATCTTTTTGTGTTTGCACTGTATATGTATAGATGGTTGCTTTTTGGGGGTGTGATTTGAAACTCTAGAAAGTATATCTCCTCGTTTTTAGAGCTTTTTTACGGTACATTCTACTGCTAGTATATACTACCAGTATATTTGATCTGACGGTGTAAATTTATCTGATTTCCCTCTTAATTATACTGCAATATAAATTGGATAGGGTATATTTGTCTTTTTATCTTTTTGCGTGGGAGGGTATTTTTGTAAATTAATGCGAACTCACTTAGTCAGATCCGTTTCACCACATCGACTCAAACTGAATCCGCTCGGCTCGCATGGGCGACCGCCGCCGCTGGCTTCTATGGGCGCCGCCCCCGCCGCCGACAGCCACAGTCGCCGCCGCCACCGGGAGCCAAAATCGGCGCCGCCGCCATCGAAATCGATTCGATTTCCCTCCTCCTTTCCTCCTCTCGTGTCTTTTCCGTCCACCCAAAACCCTATCTCTTCCAAAAAATCCCCAAATCGGCGCCGGCTGCTGGGTCTACGGGAGGGCGCCGGCTGCTGGGTCTACCGAAGGGCGAAGCCTGCTGGGGACCTTGTCTGCCGCAGTGGCAGGGGCAGCCGGCCAGCGGTAGGCGGCAGCGGCAGGGGCAGCAGGCCGGCGGTAGGTGGCAGCGGATGGCTGTCGCGGGGCAGACCCTCTTGTTCGGCGCGGGAGCGATGTGCACCAGGAGCAGCGACGCTGGAAACGCGAGATGTATCGAGAAGAAGCAGATGACGACATCCACAGAAAAAACTAACGAAGGAAAATTAATCCGGATGAAATTAATTCTCTAATTTAAAGGACCAAAAAGCCATTTTCAGACTTTTACCTAATACCAAAACTACCCTTGTATATACTGGTAGTATATACTAGCAGTAGAATTTACCGTAAAAGTCCTCTTATTTTATACTAGGTATCAACTCAACTGTAAAATTGGAAAATAATAATGATATGATATATTAATTCACAAACATTAAGTTCAAATATAATTACAAACATACTTTAATTTGCTAACTAACATTGCATTATAACATACTTTTAACTTTCATAAGAAAAGCTGCGAGACGAACATCAGCCAGATGGCCACCGGCTGCATGCATGCGCTACTGCACACGCTCTGTTGAGCGATCGCCGGCTAGCGGGAGAGATGGATCAGACCCTGTTAACAAATGGACTAAATAAGTAGTTTAGTCATGCGTTTGGCAGGTACATCGATCTCGATCCAGACGACAAACCAAATACTCGTAGCTATTTAAAGGCTTAAGCGCTCTAATTAATAATCACCCCTAAACCATATACACTCCTGTAACCTCTGCCTGCCTTAAGCTAAGCCGATGGAGATCAAGCTCGTCTTCTTCTTCCTCCTCCTCCTGGGTTTTGGCAACGCGGAGGAGGAACTCGACACCGAAACCTGCGACGTCGCCAAGCTGTCGGCCGAGATTGGCACCTACTGCGAATTCGACCAAGGGAGGATGTACCCCGGCCGGTGCTGCGACAGCATCATCGACGCCGCGGATGGGCACGATGGCGGTGGCACTCAGTGCATCTGCCGCGTCTGGATGGAGGATGCGGTGAGAAAGACCGGGATCACTTTCAGAGAGTTGTTGCATAAGTACATTGATTGTGGTGGTCTGCAGCCCAGCCTACCTCATCTTGCCGACTCCGCTTGCTCAGCTGGTAAGTAATTAAGCATTAATTGCGTCTCCATCTCGAATCGATCAGTCTCTAATTAACTTTTGTTGTTTCTTCCTTTTCTGATCTGTCTGATTAATTCACTTGATCAGCTCCTGAGATGGTAGGCACACTTCCAGGTCCAGGCAAGATCAGCGGTGCAGACACCACCAACGTCGGAGTCATCTTCTCCGCCATGAGGCCGGCCATTATCGTCAATAAAATGCTAGCTAGTACTTGATACATATATATAGCGAGTGTTCGTTGGGGTATTTGTTAAGTTAATTTAGTGTTATTGCCGGCTAATAATATATATAGTAGAGAAGCTATGAGTTTGATGTCATATTGCAGTGCATTACATCGTTTTGTTATTATATTTTGAAAGCAGACTGTAAGTTCCCTGACGCTCTATTTGAGAGATAAAAAGATTATTATGCCGAAAGAGATCAACTACTCCCTCCGTCCCACAATATAAGGGATTTTGAGTTTTTCTTGCAACGTTTGACCACTCGTCTTATATTCAAATTTTTTTTGCAAATATAAAAAATAAAAAGTTGTGCTTAAAGTATTGCGGATAATAAAGCAAATCACAAATAAAATAAATAATAATTTCAAAAAAAAATTAAATAAGACAAATGGTTAAACGTTGTAAGAAAAAACTCAAAATTCTTATATTATGAGACGGAGGGAGTAGTAGTCTAGTACCAGCATGCAGTGTGTATGTTTGTGTGTGATGTTGATTTGTTTTCTAATTGCATGGCCATCAGCCCCATGTCTTAGGTTCAGGTGTCCCGTGCTGAATCTTGAAAGTGCTACTAGTTTGATGGCTCACAGAATTTTCATAAATTCGGTCACCATTTAATGCATGTGGCCCTTACACCACAACTGTAATTTAACAGATCCGATCAAACAGCTCTAGTCTACGGATTTACCCAGAAACATGGGTAGCGGTTTAATCTATGGATTGATAGTAACTAAAATATATGTTTCTGTTAAACTTTTGTGCTTGAGAGATGTTCTAGTTGTTTCTTTTTTAGCTGTGTGTATTTTATGCAGAGGCCGGGGGTGACTCAGTTTGATTATATCATCTTGATGTAAATAAAGCTTCCATTATCTTAAAAAAAAACAGCTCTAGCACTTAGGATTAGCGGTGATGTTCTTCTTCTTCTTCTTCTTCTTCTTCTTCTTCTTTTTAATCAGCCGTGATGTTCTTCAGGTAAAGAAATGGGTAGAAGTGATGAAAGATCAGACCGAGACAGGCCGTCATATTGCGCTCCTACTACGCAGTAAGCCCAATACGACCCATTTGTTGGTTCGGTCGATTTGTTGATGGGCCAAATGGAGGCCCAACTTTGTGCTTCTTGCCCTGATCTGACGGAGCGCTGGGGTCGGAGAACAAGACGCCGGCCCCTACTCATCATAGCTACTGATTGAATACAATTATCATTCTTCTACATTCTTGAGTTCCTACTTGTAACAGTCTCGACCGCTTCGTGCGACGTTGCCAAGCTGTCGACTGAGATTAATTGGCACCTAGTGCGGTTCAGGGAGGATGGACGGCGTTGATCAGTGCTGTGACGCCATGGAAGCTCGGTGGTGCTCAGTGTCTCTGCCCGTCGTTTCTACTTGTGGGTTATGTTACCGATGAAAAACCATATACATGGGTCCTCCTATTCGTCGCAGTTATACTTTATTTGTTAAGTTTAGTGTTAATTATTGTCTGCTAACAGTGGAGAGCTATGAGTTTGATGTCAATGCCGCATTGTCGTTTTGTTCTTTTATTTTGAAAGCAGACAGTAATAAGTTCGAACGGATTCTAAATCTCTCAAATAGAGCTTCAGATTTAATGTTCAGTATTATGCTAGTACTAATGTTTTAATTATGTGATACTCCTATATTAACATTGAATAATGTGACTGCAAGCAATTAGCTTGTCAAGATAAAATCATGCCATGTTGTGTTAGAGCTGCATTTATACTTAGAAGACAGCATGCAGCTGTTCATACAACCCCCAAAGTACAATCCCTATTATTGTGTCCCTAACCAGCCCTTTGATGAGTGAGCTTGCCCAGGTATCAGATGATGCTCTACCAACAAGATCACGGAATCTCAAGTCTCCTTGATCAGAAATCAGTGCATACACCACACCATTCATATGTCCCTTTCCAATGATCCCAACGACAGTTTTGCTCTTGTTTACAGCTTTGCTCCTCTTCAGAGACCATGCAAGGAACTGTAAAACAGACGACAAATTAGCTTCAGATAGATTGTTCAATTCAGAGACCATGCACTTGGAAGCAAGATACGTAACTAATTAACTTTCTGCGTATGAGTGATCTTTCTGCAGGTTGTAAAATTCAGACAAGTTACCGAGGAATATACCATGTCACGCTCATGTATCAGAGGTTGCAGTAGTGAGGGATATGAGATGCTCAGTTTCTCATACAACTCGTAGGGGCTACCTGCAGCTTTCTCATCCTGCTGCATTACCACTCAAACAAGGATATCGACGTAAATAACGCGAAAATTATGTTTTGCAATGAAATGATTTAGAGGAAATTACACTCGTGTAAAAATGCAACACTGCTGAGAACAGAGAGATACTTCTAGGAGTATTTAGAACTTACACTTGTGTCAGTTGTAGAGGTAATTCCACGGAACAATGAAACTACCAATTTAGTCTTCTCATCCCAGCTAAGGGATTTCCAAGCTCGTTCAAGCTGCAACAACAACTTGGCATGAGCTTCAGAAAACTTATCATTTATATTTTGCGCAACTGCAAATCGGAAAAGAGTTCGCAGATATATAGTAGTAGTTGTATATATACAGTTATTTCAATTGGACGATCCCCAAGAACGAGCTGAGCGCCAAGATCTTCAGACACCTTCCTAGCCGCTCGGAACTAGCAAATGATGGAGTAAAAGAGGAATTGTTTTCAAGAGTTGAATTAAATCATCAGAAAAAAAATGAAAACTAATGACAGGAATAATTTAATTACACCTCTTCTCCGAAGGGCCGGTTTGCACCAGAAGAGATCTTTGAGGAGAAAACGGCAAGAAGCAGACGCAGAGCAAGTGCAGTCTGCCCACCTGCAAGCATCGTCCCAAGCAGAAAAGAATTACCATCTTCTGGCTGATTGGCAGTAGGATTATATCATTGTAGAGTGAAAAAGAATTTCAATTACCCAGATTGATGCTCCGGTTGACGGCTCCGAAGAACTTGGAGCCACCGAGAGAGAACATGTTGGATTTGAGGAGCGGCTCGCCGGCAGAAGAATCGGTGGTCACGTACATGATTCCAGCTCTGCAGTGAAGGCTCTGCAATGGCAGCAATTAGCTCAAGAAGAGATTTCACGGCCATGTCTGACTGAGCAGGCCTAGCTAACGACGATCTTGCCTGCTCCGGCAGAGCTCGACGACGACGTTGTCCGGGCGGACGGCGCGGAGCACCCGCTCGACGTCGGCGACGGACTCCTCGGAGAGGTGGGACGTCCCGAGGATCCAGACGTCCTCTGGCTCCACGAACTCCGGCGGCCGCCACGCCGGGACGGGCCCGAACCGCCGCCGGGGAACGCGCACCAGTGCGCCTGACTCGACCAGCGCGGCGAGCGCCGGGTCCGCGGCGGTCACCGCGGCCGCCCGCGTGTGCCCCAGCATGGCCTCCCTGTAGTCGAAGCACGGCGGCGGCGGCGGCAGCGGCGGCCGGAACGACGCCGCCGTGGATGGGGTGGGCCCCGCTGCCATCCCTGGCGCGGCGCGGCGAGAGGAGGAGGATATGAGAGCGCGACGCGACGCGACACGGCGGTGGCGAGCCGCGGGGTCATACAACGTTGTGGATGACGTAGATGGGCTCGCTGCCTCTCGCAACTAAAGATTTTTTTATCCCTACTTTTCCTTGATTTTTTTAATTTTATTTATTATAAAATATTTAAAAAATAATTTTCTATTTGAAAAATTTACAAAACTAGTCACCCATAGCCCTCTATAAAAGTCACCCTCCTAAAAGGCGATTTTATTGGCTTGGCAGATGGCTGTGGGCCCTTCCATAACGGTTGGCCACTGAGGACGCCGAAATTCTGCAGGCGGCCCCCTTCCGCTCTCGAGGACGATTTTTTTACTATGCGACTGCCTGCAAAAATACCACCCCCTACCATCCTTTAAGCAAGTGGCCCCTCGCATTGGAAAAAATCATCCTCCTAAAGGGCGGTAAGGAGACCGCCTGCACATTTTTGGCTCTTTTGGTGGCTGGCCGTTATAGGAGGTTCAATGGCTGTATGCCACGTCGGCAAAATCGCTCTTTGGGAGCGATAGGCGACTAGTTTTGTAAATTTTTTATTTATGTAAATATTTTAATAAAAAATTCACTTTTCCTTACCGGCAAATGGGCCGCATTTTTTATGGGCCCGCAAGTTCGTGTCCGAATCCGGTCCGGACTCCAACCCGGCCCAACGAGCAAGAGTTTCCGATCGATAGTGACGAAGGATTAATAAGTAGAAGAAGCTGAAGCAAGGAAAGGAAGAGGCCGGCGGAACACGTACGGCGACGTTGATGGAGGACCTGCCGGACGACCTGTTGCTGGAAGTCCTCCGCCGCCTCCCGCCGATCAGCCTCGCCGCGTCGCGCGTCGTCTGCAGCGCATGGCGCGCCGCCGTCGACGCCAACCGCCTCCTGCGCGCGGACCTCCTCCCCCTCTCCGTCGCCGGCATCGTCGTCAACCCCCTCTCCCTGGGCTCGCGCTTCCTCTGCCGCCCCAATGCCGCGGCGACCATCGCCGACGACCTCGACGACATCCGCAACACGAGCAGAGGCATCTTCAACCGCTTCGATTTCCGAGTCAGCGACCACTGCAACGGCCTCTTCTTGGTCGACGACGACGTCCAGCACGTGGTTAACCCGGACACGAGGCAGTGGGCGCCATTGCCGGGCTATCCACCGCCGCATCCGTGCTACCCGCACAAGCTCTTCTCCCCCACCATCTGCCTCGTGTTCGATCCCGCCGTATCGCCTCACTTCGAGGTGTTGGTGATTCCGCGGCTCCGCTCCGAATTACGCAGGCCACGAGAATGGCCGCCGTCGCCGTTCGTCCTGCGTGCTTTCTCGTCTAGGACGGGCGGCGATCAATGGGAGGATAGGTCCTTCGTTCGGGAAGGCCCCCGGCCTACGTACAAAAGGCAGACTTGAGTTTCGGCGGCTACTATCGCGTCAAACAACAGCAGTGTTGTGTCTATTGCAAAGGAGCGCTCTATGTGAATTTTCAGGCTAACAATTTCACTATCAGGTAACTATCTATATATCTATAACTTCAATTCTTGGCTATCTTTATTTACTTTGGTTATTGTTGTTCGTTGTTGTTGTACAATTCACATAGTGATTTGCTCCGGTCTAGCAAAAAGTACATCGAGGTACCGGTACCTCACGGTATCAAATCATTTCCGATCGTTGGATCTGTATCTCGAGGTACTTTTTGATGAACCAGAGCAAATCTCATTCACATATATATATATATGCATAATTTACTAATGTATGTTATCCTGGCCTTTTTTTTTCCATAGGATATCACTATCAAACGGGACTTACCGTGTGATTCAATCGGAGCCTAGCATGTCGCTGAGATATAGGGAGAAACATCCAGACCTTTATCTTGGGAAATCAGAAAAGGGGGTACATTGTGCACGCGTTAGTTTCGACCATCTTATGGTGTTGTTCCTTAGTGAATCGCATGGTCAGATGAAGTGGGTGTTGAAGCATCGTAGCTGAATTGCATCCTTGCTACCTCGTCGCACCACCTACGAAGAACAGAGTGGCGAATCATGGATCTTACATGGTGCTAACTATCAAGGAGATTTTCACGCTGATGCTGACGATGTATCATGGATGTTTAATTGGGAATGGCAGAGGGACTCTTATGATGACGATGATGATCATCATGAGAGCAACCGCCATGCCAAACATGTTACTTTCTTAGGATTCCATCCTTTTGATGAAGAGGTTGTGTTCCTCGGTGAAACTTTCAGAAGGGGATTTGCCTATAATCTGAACAACTCAGAGATCCAAGACCTGGGTAACTTGTGCCCAAAATTCTATGATCTCACTTATCACCAGGCGTTGATACAAACGTCTTTTGTGTACACGCCTTGCTGGATTGGATTAGAGAGAGCTCTCTCTCTCTCTCTCTCTCTCTCTCTCTCTTTCTCTCTCCCTGTAAATAGCTAGTACTCCCTCCGTTTCAAAATATTTGACACCGTTGACTTTTTAGCACGTGTTTGACCATTCGTCTTATTCAAAAAATTTAAGTAATTATTTATTCTTTTCATATCATTTGATTCATTGTTAAATATACTTTCATGTACACATATAGTTTTACATATTTTATAAAATTTTTTAAATAAGACGAATGGTCAAACACGTGCTAAAAAGTCAACGGTGTCAAACATTTTGAAACGGAGGGAGTAGTAATTTAGAATCTCACCTTGTTGTAGATTATTTTGAGTCTGTGTTTTAGTGGCAAGCAGATGAAGAGAGCAGATGTACTATTTCATCCCAATATATACTTACATTAGTTTTAGTAGCATCAATCTTTGAAATTTTTAGGATTATATGATATCTTTCTTAAGCAATAATATATATCCATGGCAAGAGTACTGCATGCCACATTGCTACACTGAACATGCTTAATCAGCAAAAGAAAACCTGTAGCACCGCACGATATCCACAAAATCCATCGAACTAATTAAACAAATATACACGGACAGGAACGGCTCAACAATTCAACGGATCACTGATGAAAGGATTGATGCTCTAGCTGCTACACATGGCCAAATGGTCTTTCTTTACAACAGCAGCTAGCGGAGGAGTGTTGTTTGTGTGTAGTGTTTGTGTGGATGGAAATGGAGCTACTAGTCCTACATGGATAAACTCCGCACGTCAGTCGCCCTGGTGGTCGTCGCTGCATGCGCTTTCTGCACTTTTTTTCTGAACTTTTTGCTTACAAAACCTTGCGCTTTTTGCCCTTTTCCCCGACGAGTTGGGCGGTTATGGCGAGGGTTGGGTTTCTGGACGCAAGTTGGCAGCGGTGTAGCACGCAGGATTGATTGCACGTTCGTTGCAGCATTGAGAATCTGCTGGCTTTCGCATACCAGCGGCCGGACGTGTACGACGCCGGTTTTGGGCTCGAGACCAAAAACGGGTGGTGGCGTCCTTGCCTCTATTGGGCTCTGACGAATGCTATGTTTATCCGGATGAGGTAGTTAGCCTACTAGTAGTAGAAGAATATTTGTTTCCGTTTTAAGGCTTATTGTTTGATTAATCGCCGATCGAGATTGTCATAGTGGAGTGCTACTCTACGAGTTGATGATGGGCCGACCAACGAGAATTGCTTACTCCCTCAATACTAAAAAAGAATAAAACTATTTTTACACCTTTCGACCAAGCATAACTTTTTTTATTTAATTTATTCAATTATTTTTTTTCTTCTTAATAAACTAATCATAACTATTTTTTATTTAATTTATTAATTTTCTTCTAAAGCAACCATAACATTTTACATCCACTTTCTTGATCCACATGAAAATATTATGCTGATATGTTTTTTCTTTAGAAACATAGTATAAATACAGGCGCTCACAGAGAATCTATTACGCTCACTTGGTTCTGTGCTGGCATGTTGACCTTCATTTTCTGTGAAACTCTGGATGCAGAAACATTTATTCAGTTTAAGGTTGCCCATTCCATTCCAGAGCGAGTGCGACCTGTGCACGCCGTGACCACCAATCAGGATAGACTTCCTTCCACGGCTGCACCTCTCGCCCACTGGACCAAACCAAACCAAAACCATTGCCACCCCCACAACCTTCCACGTCTCGTCACAAGCCGCTTACAAATACTCGCGTTCCAAACCACCATTTCCCACCACAAACACCTCCATCACCATCACCACGGCACCACCACCTCCAAATTCCAATGTGTACGAGCAAACTAGAGGAGATCACCGGCGAGTGGCCGCCGCCGGCATTGCAGGCCGCCTCCACGACGTCGTCGTCGGAGCCGTGCCGCCGCCTCTCGCCGCCCAGCAGCAAGCGCCCCGCGGGGCGCACCAAGTTCCACGAGACCCGCCACCCGGTGTTCCGCGGCGTGCGGCGCCGCGGCCGCGCGGGGCGGTGGGTGTGCGAGGTCCGCGTGCCGGGCCGCCGCGGGTGCAGGCTCTGGCTCGGCACGTTCGACGCCGCCGACGCCGCCGCGCGCGCCCACGACGCCGCCATGCTCGCGCTCCGCGGCCGCGCCGCCGCGTGCCTCAACTTCGCCGACTCCGCCTGGCTGCTCGCCGTGCCGCCCCCGGCCACCCTCCGCTGCGCCGCCGACGTCCAGCGCGCCGTGGCGCGGGCGCTGGAGGACTTCGAGCAGCGGGAGTCATCATCGTCCGTGTTCCCACTCGCCATCGACGTCGTCGCCGAGGACGCCATGTCCGCCACGTCCGAGCCGTCCGCCGCGAGCGACGACGACGCCGTCACCAGCAGCAGCAGCACGACCGACGCCGACGAGGAGGCATCACCGTTCGAGCTGGACGTGGTGAGCGACATGGGCTGGAGCCTGTACTACGCGAGCTTAGCGGAGGGCCTCCTCATGGAGCCGCCGGCTTCCGGCGCATCGTCCGACGACGACGACGACGCCATCGTCGACTCAAGCGACATCGCTGACGTGTCTCTGTGGAGCTACTAGCATTGAAGCAGACGCGCGTCATGCTCTTGTACATAAAAGAGTGACTTCCTAATTAACAGCAGCTGAGCATGTATGGCCTTGTATATAGGGTTTTTTTTTTTTTGATCGCTGTACATTTTTCCTACCTCTGGAATCTTTGATTCCTATGTACGGTTTCCTCATTTCGGCATGTTTTGAGTGATTGAGAGTGAAATTATAAAAAAATGTCATGCATAATCAAAGACTAGGGAGGACCAAAATATTGCAAATGAACATTGTTTGTGTGTCGCTACGTTTCATTAATAGTGTAGAAAGCCAAAGTTATGTTTTACCCCGAAACGGCTAAAATTCACCACCGGTTTTTAACTCAAATCCCTTAATTTCAACTCAAATCAGGGGGCCGTTCCAGGGTTCCATATTTCAGGCTGAAAGGCATTGTTTCGGCTAGAATAATATTTTTTTCAGTTAAGCAAAATTTGATCATATTCAACTTTGTTTTTCTAGTTTTTGTTTTTTTTTTTTGAAATTTCAATTCTACCCGATCCCCTCGAAATGTTTTTTATTTATATCCCTAGATGGTTCCAACGACATAAAAGGTAAGAACATAATTTTTATTTTTTTTATTTGAAATTTAAAACTAGAATTATTTTGACGGGATGCCAGCATGAACAGTAACCGGATGTATCGATAAGCAGCATGAACGGTCAAGATCGTCTTGGATCTGTCTAGGATTTCCCTTATCATTTTCGGCACGGTTACCGAAACTCCATAGTAATATAGTTATCACGATAACCACGAGACATATCGTGGTTTTAAAAACTATAAAACGATTTTGTAAACCCTGGATCCATCTGTTGCAGGGTCCTAAGTGTGCGTGCACTTCACCACACACGCACCCAAAATACTCTTCCGCTTGGGTTGATTAGTTCCTAACAATATCAAACCAAAACGTCATTTCGTGAGAAATCGATGGACTTCGATCACAGCTAATACCCGTGTACAGTGGCGAATCTAGAATATAAATTGAGGGGGTGCTAGAGCAAATTAGAGATATGTCAACTCGAGAAATATTTTTGATGAAACCCAAATATGCATAAGATCAACAGAAAACACATTGTTTGCTCCATTTTAATTTCCAGTTACATTAATATGCATCTACAAAATGTATGAACAAATTAGTATTTTGTACTGAGAGAGTGTAAGAGTGCATTATATATTTGCAACTTTAATCACCAAACTCTTCAGCTAACATCCTGGCATTCTTTACGTGCGGCCAATTTTACTATAAATTACTGATTATACTCACTAATGACTAACTAAATACATGGGACGGAGCTGGGGCTTGCGCACCAACAAGCACCAACAATGGATTCGCCGCTGCCCGTGTATAAGGGTGTGTTTCAGGAGAGGAGATAGAGAAGATCGGAAAGATACGCAAAACGAGGTGAGCCATTAGTATATGATTAATTGACTATTAAGTATTTTAAACTTTAAAAATGGATTAATATGATTTTTTAAAGCAACTTTCCTATAGAACTTTTTTTTGCAAAAAACGTACCATTTAGTAGTTCGGGAAACGTGCGCGTGAAAAACGAAACAAAACTCACTCACAATCACCTAGATCACCTAGTAAAGAACACAGCCTAGTCTTCATCCTGATCAATAATGCTAAACAATCAGTAGTACGAGAGATGGTACACGAACTGAATTCGCCGGCTACTCACAATGATACTACTCCCTCCGTCCCACGATATAAAGGATTTTGAGTTTTTGCTTGCAACGTTTGACCACTCGTCTTAATCAAAAAATTTTGAAATTATTATTTATTTTATTTATGACTTACTTTATTATCTACAGTATTTTAAGCACAACTTTTTGTTTTTTATATTTGCAAAAAAAATTTAAATAAGACAAGTGGTCAAACGTTGCAATTAAAAACTCAAAATCCCTTATATTATGGGACGGAGGGAGTATCATACTACAACTTGCCTCGTACGGAAATAATAATAATAATAATAATAATAATAATAATAATAATAATAATAGTAGTAGTAGTAGTAGTAGTAGTAGTAGTAGTAGTAATACAGTACAGTACTAGAATGAGTAGAATACTCTGCTTTGTCCGTACACCTGTGGGGCGCATCAATAGATCCAGAAGAGGCAAAAACAGCAGCGGCGGCAGCAGCAGAAACGCCCGCCCATGGGTGTGTGCTCAATACCAGAAATGGCAACTAGCCTCGGATTTTTCCCTTTTATGTCATTGCAGGCTGACACGAGAGGTTTGCATCCATTTGACTTCTTTTTGGATAATAAGCTAAACAAAAGCCATGCTTTGCTTTGCCTTGCCTTGCTCTGGAAACCGAGGACAACCGAACCAACAGATTTTGGCCGCGCGCTGGATACGGCTAAGCAATTCGATTCCCTTGTCGACACATGCGTGTCAGCTCCAGGTTTATAACTACTCAATTTGTCTCAAAATAAACGAATTTCTATAGTTTAGAATTTATCCTAAAATAAACTAATTTCTATCGTTTTACCTATCAGTAAAGCGAGAAAATTTTATTACTTTATTCCTTTCAAAAAAAATATTACTTTAACATCCTTTGCTTATCCATCAATCAATATAATTTTTACATCAATTAAGAGCATTGTGATATATTGTTTCTCACCTTAAAATTTTCCTGAGATATTAGGGTTTGGGTAATTTGGGTACAGATAGTACTCTGTTGCACCAATCTGATGTTGTATTATTGTTACTTTGTGTTTCCAGTGAGCACGACACGAGATCGATCAACCGACCTGCGACGAGAAATTGCTACGACATTTTCTTCCCCTCGAAGATATCCATGTGTATGTCAATGTCACGTGATATGTCTTGTGTTGCTGCTACAATCATCATCATCATCACGTCCGTCATGATGGCGCAATCAAACTAACACCGCTTTACGCTTTCGCCGCCTGGATTAATTTCTCCTCTTCTCTTCCTCCCGTTTATAATAATTCTCTGTTTAAAATTAAAAGCCCTCCAAAATCCACCATTTTTCCCGCGTCGCAGCCACCTTACAATACGCAGCCATACCTATATATACAAGCTTTCCCCGTCGCCGCCGCCGCCGCCAACACCAACCAACTGCGGCTTGAGACGTCGCGCGCGACATGGAGAAGAACACCACCGCCATGGGGCAATTGATGAGCTCCTCCGCGACGACGGCGGCGACGGCGACGGGGCCGGCGTCGCCGAAGCGGCCGGCGGGGCGGACCAAGTTCCAGGAGACGAGGCACCCGGTGTTCCGCGGGGTGCGGCGGCGCGGGCGCGCGGGGCGGTGGGTGTGCGAGGTGCGCGTCCCGGGCAGCCGCGGCGACCGCCTGTGGGTCGGCACGTTCGACACCGCCGAGGAGGCCGCGCGCGCGCACGACGCCGCCATGCTCGCCCTGTGCGGGGCCTCCGCCAGCCTCAACTTCGCCGACTCCGCCTGGCTGCTCCACGTCCCCCGCGCCCCCGTCGCCTCCGGCCATGACCAGCTGCCCGACGTGCAGCGCGCCGCCAGCGAGGCCGTCGCCGAGTTCCAGCGCCGGGGAAGTACTGCCGCCACTGCCACCGCCACCTCCGGCGACGCCGCATCCACCGCTCCTCCGTCGTCGTCGCCCGTTCTGTCACCCAACGACGACAATGCCTCGTCGGCGTCCACTCCTGCGGTGGCGGCGGCGTTGGACCACGGCGACATGTTCGGTGGCATGCGCACCGATCTGTACTTCGCGAGCTTGGCGCAGGGTCTGCTCATCGAGCCGCCGCCGCCGCCGACCACCGCTGAGGGTTTCTGCGACGACGAAGGATGCGGCGGCGCTGAAATGGAGCTGTGGAGCTAGCATCAAATTAACCAAACAATCTTCACTAGCTTGTTGGATGTAGTAGTAGCAGTTCTAGCTAGCACAAGTGCAGAACACAAAAGGATCGTTTGTGTTGTGCCTGCGAAAAATTCCCCAAGGAAATATTTGTATGCATTTCATTTAATTTGCATGGTTACAAATTCCTACACATTCTATTTGCTCGAATACATTATAAAATCTATGAATTGTCAAAATATCAATTCTTTCTTCCATAAACACAGGATAACACACCAGAACTTCACCCCTTTTCAGCAGGTTTTACTGCAGTCAACTAATATGACCATCACAACAAAGTAGCCACAGAAGTAACGATGGCGACCTGATCATCCAAAGTCAAACACTTGCACGGTACCTGTGGCCACAATTAGAAATAGAGAGAGATATGATGTTAGGATGAGATCTAGCGTTAGTAACAGTAATTGTACTCACAGAGTTATAATAATTTATTGAACTCAGCTTGCGATCTCCCATCAGACGGGGACTGATGATGGTACTTTGCCATGGGAGGCTGGAGGTCGGCATGACAAGACGGCTACGTGGACGCCTGCGGATTCATTCGATCAGAGCTGATAAGGTAAACGCTGCAGACGGCAGCGTCGACATCAGCGTACGTGGCCGCCGCCGGCCGCCGTGGCGCGCAGCAGCACAAATTTGCTCCTACAACTCAGCCCAAATTTTATATATGTCGAGGACGTGATGAACAATTCAACGACGATTAGTGTCGTCACTAGTCACTACACGCACGATTTGAAAACAAAAACGGCTGCGGTTGCAATTCATCCTCGTGTTCATTCCCCTGGCCGGCCATCACTATAAATCTTTTTGCTCATTTAATCTGCAAAGATCACCTCTGACGGATTTGTTAGTACGTAGAAGAGGAGGAGTCGTAGATGGCATCGTTGTCTTAGGCCCTAAGTCACACGGCAAAGCCGCCAAGAGCGTTTGCTCCTCTGATCGATGGGTTGACTTCATCATCTCCATCTGATCGCCATGAAAAAAGGCGATTGTTGTCGTGTCCCGCCGCCGAGGAAACGTGCGGCCAAACGTGGTTGTTCCGCGGGTCACACGCGTCGCGCCGCGGTATAGTTGGGCGTCGGCATGGCAACCGCGCACCAGCAGCAAGTTGGGCGTCGGCTTCGGCTAACGACGCGCGCGGACGAGGAAAACCCGGAGATCTCGCGGAGGCCGCGACCGTTTTATGGGCTTGCAGCACTCGACCTAGCTGGCCTCCTACTAACCTGGTTCTCTTTCGGCCCAACTATTACTAGCTCCGCAGAGCCCAATATCCCATCGCTGCATTGGACGTGACAACCGGGACTATGGGCTGGATAAGGAATAAGTTCACCTACCATCCCTCAACTTTACGTCGAGTCTATATGACATCCCTAATCCCCAATACCAGAAATCTTCACTCGTCAAATGTTTAAAACTGTACAATCAAGTCCCATGACAGTATATATGGGTGATCTCGCTAACGTAGCATCCTACTCAACAATCTAGACCTATATGTAAGTGGGTAAAAAATATTTTGGGGGCCACATCCCTTCTTTCCACCATTTTCTTCTTCTTTTTATTTTTTCTTCTCCTCTTTTTGTTCTTCTCTTTGCCACAAAGAGAGGAGCGGCTACGGCGTGGCGGCGGTGATGGCAGGCGAGCACACGGCCGACGGAGTGGAGTGGTGGCCGGGCCATCTGCCGCCGGTTGCGCGTCGAGAAGATTGGAGAGGAAAGGAGAAGAGAAGAGAAGAAAGAAAAGAAAAGAGAAAAAAAGAGAAGAAATATGATATGTGGGCCCCCATTTTTTCATCTCACTTACATGTGGATCACATATTTTTTTATTTTATTGTTTACTAGGATGCCTCATCAGCGAAACTACCCATATATACTGCCATGGGATCTTGATTGCACGGTTTTTGAACATTTGAAGGGTGAAGATTTCTGATATTGGGAATGTCATACAGATTCGACGTAAAGTTGAGGGGCGGTAGGTGAAGTTGTTAACGTTAATGAGTTCAAAGGCTAGCTCGGTTTGGCTCATGAGTTGGCTCATTAATGAGGTATATCTCATTTGTATCATATTAATTATTTCAAATTTACCATTTTATCATGTATTAATATAATAATAAACACTAATTAATAAAGTACTCAATAAATACGAATAGTTTTAATGTAACTAAAAGACAAAGTACCTGTTAAAAAGCACCAAGTTTACGAAGGTTTGGTTATATCTTGTACTAACGAGTTAAACGAGCAGCTCATGAGTTAAAAGGCTAGCTCAGCTCGACTCATTAAGATTACGAGTCCAAGCTGATCCAAGCCGAACTTGCTACAAGCCGATCCGAGCTGCGAGTTTCGATTTCCCCCCTCCCACCCCTAGTGTTCAACAACCATCGAATGAATTGAAACAGACAATGCACACGCTTAGTCCATGAGGACAGAACGTTGCCGCCTTTTATTCATGTAGAGACAGACAGACACGGCAACCAGCAAAGCAAGCACACATTTTTTTGTCCGATCGACATACGTTCCAAACCCGTCACATATTTTGCTGTCGATCGATCGATGGATGGATCGATCTAGAGGTTGAACATGACCTTGATGGCGTCGCGGCCACGGGCGCTGACCTCGAACGCCTCCTCCACGTCCTCCTGCGAGAACCCGAATCGGTGGGTGATGAGCGGCTTCACGTCGATCTTGCCGCTGCGGAGGAACTCGATGCAGAGCGGCCACGTGTCCTTGTACCGGAATATCCCCACCACGTCCACCTCCCTGATCGCCGCCGACGTCAGCGGCACCGTCATCTCGTTGTGCCCCATCCCGACGAGGCACACCTTCCCGCCGCCGCGCGTCGCCTCCAGCGCCGTCGCCACCGTCTTGCTGAACCCGGCGCAGTCCAGGCTCACGTCGATGTCCCCGCCCATCGCCGCCCTGATCCGTTCCACCTCCTCGCCGACGTCCTCCGCGCGCGCCGACACCCTCACGGCGGCGTCGGCGCCGAGGGATCGGGCCACGGAGAGGCGGTGTTCGTCCACGTCCACGATCACGACGCGCGTCGCGCCGAACGCGCGCGCCGCCAGCAGGGTGACCAGGCCGATCGGCCCCGCGCCCATGATCAGCACCCCCGTCTCCGGCCCGACGTCGGCGCGGCGGCACGCGTGCACGCCCACGCTCAGCGGCTCGCACATGGCGCCTTCCTCCAGGCTCACGTTCTCCGGCAGCTTGAAGCACAGATCACCAGGGTGCACGATCTGAGTACCACGACATTGATCAGAATTGCATCTTCTTCTTGGAGAGAAATCGAAATCGAGCTGAATTGCTTGCTTGCCTGGTTGGCGAGGGATCCGTGGACGGGAGGGGTGGCGAAGAACTTCATGTCCTCGCAGAGGTTGTAGCGGCCGCCCTTGCAGTGCCTGCAGCGCCAGCAGCTGATGCCGGGCTCGAGCGCCACGCGGTCGCCGACGGCGAGGTGCGTCACGCCGCTGCCGACCTCCTCTATCACGCCGGCGCACTCGTGCCCGATCACCATCGGCTCCTTCACCACGAAATGCGCAATGCGCATCTCCTGCACGCACTCAAACAACAAACATATATAAGCCACATTATCTTTCATTCTTTCTGTGAGCGAACAACAGATCACCCTGAGGTAGTGCACGTCGCTGCCGCAGATGCCCACTGCCTTCATCCGGACACGGACATCATAAGGCCCTGAAAATGGTCATCTATCTCAGTGTTGTTTCATCCAACATTTTTACTGAATTTCACACTCACATTTGTAGCCATATACAGCAGACGAATGCAAATGCTTGACGCTTATAAAGAAACAAATATCATAAAAAACATATCAAAATTCAGGAGCTGAGCTTTTGAGACTCAGGCATAGCATGAGCTGATTGCATAGTGAAGTAGTAGGCGTCCACATGAAACAGACTAGCATTTCATAAACAGGAAAGGGATATTTCTTCTTTCTAAGTGCCAAAACCTTAGTTTTGTACTAGCAATCATCTTTTTTCGCGAACACGCAAAAGAATTACACGTCAATATATTAGAAGAATAGAGTTTTTGTTACACGATGCACTCAGCAAGTACTAGCAATCATCTTTCAGGAAACTGGAAACGTGCTACTATTACTCAACATGCTTTATATATTATCCAAGACAGGATAATATAAAAAAAAAAGGGAATAGTCAGAACTACCTGGGTTATTGGACAGGAAAATAAACTACCACAACAACTGATGAAATTATCAGAAAAAGATTGGAAAAGAAAGTATACTACTACACCCAGGGGATTTCTGAACTGAGTTACTGCTACACCAAAAATTCTGAACTATTCCCAAGGAATCAAATTAGCACAACAACCGGCCAATTTTTTATCTCTCCACGAAAGAAAACATATCAACAAGAAGAGAGTAGCACTCCCATCACAGAGCAAAGTGAATTTGTTTATCAAAGAACAACCAAGGTCAGGGACAGGAGAGGATTTCACACGAACCAACTGGCGGGAGCTTGAAGGGCATGATCTTGAGGGTGTTCTTCGCCACCAGCCACGCCGCCATGTTCTCCTCCTCACCGGCTCCGGCCACCGCCGCCGCCGCCGCCTCGGCTCCTTTCCCTCCCTTCCCCATCTTCCTCCTCTTCACTCACTCACTCACTCACCCAAAGTCACAGTGTTTGCAGAGAGCAGGTGATGACTGATGAGCTAGTGATGTGACGATTAAATAGGGATGAAATGGCACGGATGCGTCTATTTTTAGCGGAAGAGAACAAAGAGTACACGGCCTACGCTGCGATGCTTATCGCCATACGTGACAGACACGATGCCTTAGCAAGTTGAGGACGCAAGAAAACGACAGTGGCAGCGTCAGATTTTTCTTGGCTTCATGGTCCTGCTCACGTAATTATCTTTGCAATCATTCCAAGGAGAGAAGAAAAAAAATCAGTGGGAGGTTTTAGAAGGAGCCAAGCAAATTGTGTGATCAGAAGAGCGAAGCACTGCGCTTTACGATTGGATTAGACAAACAGCATTTGGTTCTTTCAGGGAAAAAGATGTAACAAACATTTGGTATCTGCTTCGTGATCCCAGGACGCGTCACGAAATGGGGAGAGATTGTTAAAAATCTGGGTATCAAAATCCACGTATATGCCCTGTTTGGACCACGGTTTTTATTGCGTTCCGTCCACAATCAGACGGCAACCGGTGACGACGAAAGCAGCTTCAGGCTTCACCTTGGCTGTGACGATCGATGAATCAAGGGCACCATGTGATCAGTGTGTACTACCTATAACCTACTCCATCCGTCTAAAAAAAAAACCTAGGAGCCGGACCGGTGGTACCAGATCCTCCGCCGGTCTGGTCCAGCTAAAAGATTGCCTGTGCATGTGAACACGTAAAAACCAGCTGGACCACTCGGTTTTCTGGGAAAACAGCTTAAAACCGGTCAGAAAATCGGCACTAAACCGCTAGGCAGGTGCTGTAGTAACTTAGAGGGCAGGCGCATGCGGGGGAAAGAGGAGACCGGCGGTCAGACCGGAAAAAAACCAACCAGAGCGGACTATCCGGTTTTCAAATCGGCACTGCACTAAACCGCTAGGCAGGTGCTATAGTAGCTCAGAGGGCAGGCGCATGCGGGGGAAAGAGGAGACCGGCGGTTAGACCGGAAAAAAACCAATGCTATAGTAGCTCAGAGGGCAGGTGCACGCGGGGGAAAGAGGAGACCGGCGGTTAGACCGGAAAAAAACCAATGCTATAGTAGCTCAGAGGGCAGGCGCACGCGGGGGAAAGAGGAGACCGGCGGTTAGACCGGAAAAAAACCAACTAGAGCGGACCGCCCGGTTTTCAAATCCAGAACCAGAGCGGACCATCCGGTTTTTATATAGGTAAAACGGTTGCACATGCATGCTGGGGAAAGAGGATAAAATATAGGTAAAATGTGTGTTGGGTAGGATTTGAACCCACGATGGGTTGATTGGAAGCACGAGCGCCAACCACCAAGCTATGCTTGTGTTTGAAATGAATAAATTATCAACCGGTCAAACCAATGACCCATCAAACCGAGGGCCTCGCCGGTTCAATGACCGGTCCGGTCTCAATTACAATATGATCCCTCATAATACAATAAATTTGGACTACTCTTCGTCCAGATTCGTTGTTCTATGAGGGATCAGGTTGAGTTTTTTTTTGATGGAGGGAGTACTCTTCGTCCAAATTCGTCCTAAATTTGTACTACTACTCTAAAAAAAGAAAAAAAAATCCTAAATCACAGACGAACTGATCAAAAGGCCCAATCAAATTGGGCTCTTCGGCCAGATTCATCCTAAATTTGTACTACTACTCTAAAAAAAGAAAAAAAAATCCTAAATCACAGACGAACTGAACAAAAGGCCCAATCAAATTGGGCCGTTTCGATGAGTTTGGGCCAGGGTGCAGAAGTCTGAAGTTTGCTACTAACGGCGACATAGACGTCCCAATGAATAGACAGTGATAGAAGATTATAAATAACTCCAATAGGCGATAAATGAACAGTGCGCACCGGAAAAACATTAGGTAGTACTCCCTCCGTTTCATAATGTAAGAATTTCTAGAATTGTTCACATTATGTCTAGATTTATTAAGGCCCCGTTTAGCACAGCTCTAGCTCCCAACTCCAATTTACCTGGAGCGGGAGTTGTGCCAAACGGTCCAGATTCTTTTTTTTTTCGGAGTGGAGTTGGCAGAGCTACTCCTAGAAAATGAACTACGGGGGTGGAGCTGGGTTTTTGCTGCTCCACAGCTCCACTCCACCCAAAAGACCCACTACCCTCTAATATTATAGTGTATTTACATGAAAATACCACTCAACTACCCCTTCACCCTTCTTTCCTCCCGTTCTCTCTCCTCCCCCCAATCTTCCTCCCAATCCCGAGCTAGTGCGGCGGCGTCGGCGGGCTGCGGTGGCAGCAACAGCGTCAACGGCGACGGGCAGCGGCAGTGGCGGGCGGCGGCGGCTGCGGGACGACGACGACGGGCGGTGCGCGCGGCCGGAGGCTGGCGGCGGCGGGCTGCGGCAGCGGCGGAGAGCGGCTGTTGCGGGACGAGGACGGGCGGCGCGGCGGCGGGGCCAGCAGGTGGCGGCACCCCATCTTCTTCCCCATCCTCCGATGACGGCCACAACCGGTTGTGGCGGCGTCTGCGTCGGCAGCATACGGGGACAGTGAGCATGGGCCGCGACGCGTCGGCGGTGGCAGGCAGTGGCGGCGGTTGCGGGCGGTGTTGTGGTGGCCGCGACTGGCGGCATGCGGTGGCGTCGGCATCAGCTCGCGAGCGGCGGCGTCGACAGGCGACTCGCGTGCGGGGGCATCGGCAGAAGGCAGCCTGGGCGACGGCGCTTGCGCGGCGGCTTGGGAGGCGGCGGAGATGCGTGGGCCTCCCGGCTGCGGCGGCAACGTCAAGGCGGCGCCTACAAAGTGTTCGATGAAATGGTGACAAAGGATGTATAAATGTGGAGCTGAGTAATCTAGCCAAACACTTTTTTACCTACCTCAGCTCCTAGAGGAGCCAGCTCTCACTGGAGTTAGAGTTTGGAGTTGGGAATTAGAGTTATGAGCTCTACCAAACGGGGCCTAACATTTATATAAATGTAGGTAATACTGGAAAGTTTTACATTATAAAATGGAGAAAGTACGGAGTGTATGATTGAGTTATTATTGTGGCATTAAAAAAGAGAGGTTGATTAGACAAGAAAGGAACGTTTAAGGTAGTATAACCGATCATGCACGGCATTACTACTATATTATATAGAGCTGAAATTCTGGATGCTGGAGTATATATGAAGTTGGTATTTGGTAAGTTGTCGGTTGCCTCCTTTCATCAGATATCAGCGACAGGTATTCTTCTTCTTCTTCTTCTTCTTCTTTAGCTTGACCTGGTATGGACGTCATTAGCCCATCATGGTCCTAATCATGGTGTACGGGCCAACGTTAATCGCCTCGTCTGTTCAAGTGTAAGATTATGCAGTACTACTACTGTTGTTTAAGCATAATTAATAATAAGTGATTAGTTAAGGCAAGATGTACGTATGTACGTGTAGGAAAGGATAGTGCAGGGGAGAGCCCACATGGTCGATGATGACTTGAAACAGGATTATACTACATTTATACTATGGGCAGCTGAAAATTAGTCGATGCATCGCCGTCAGGGAAGATGGGGATTTGATCAGTTGATTTGCAGCAATAATTAAATATTTCAGTGGACACGGTAAAAAAAAGGAAGAAATTAACTCAACGCCGACATCTATATGAGTATGACCACCGAATTGTCTACTTTTCACCTGTGTCGGTACAAAATCCAGCCGCAATATATTACCGGTCGCCTTTTCACATACAGTAGTCCTCCCTTCGTACTCGTATAGGAAATCGTTTAGAACAATTTAAGTCAAGACTTTAGGAATATAAATCATAAATAACTCTTAAGTTGTTGAGTTTGAAAACGTAAAAATTATATTAATATATTTATCTTGAAAAATACTTTCATAGAAACATACCTATATCACTTTTCAATAAATATTTTTGTAAAAAACAAGTAGTTAAAGTTGTGTTTTAAAGATCATGTCGCTGTTCTAAACGATTTTCTTACGAGTACGGAGGGAGTACTTGTATACTTGATCGCCGCAGTAAACATCGATCGAGACGACTCCAGTTTAGCCATAGCAATTGGAGATTGAGAAGCACGGAGCCCACACGGTTGAGAGTTGATGTGGGGGGAAACCGCGTCGATTCGAGCTAGCTGGAGAGGAGGATTGGAGGATATTCTCGATCGTCGGCGAGCGGCGGCGGCAGAGCGAGCATGGATGAATTCCTCCGTACGTCGACGTCGTTGAACAGGTCGCGGGCGGCATGGATCGGTGCTTTTCTCCTTTTCTTCTCGGCTATTGTCCGCCACGACGACCGGCTAAACTCCATCACTGTCCCACATGGCAAATGCCCATTGGAGCTCCTCTCCTCAGATGACACATATTCTAGTTTCTGACGAGATGTGAGCCTGTGGCGATCCTTGGAGTCACGTCTGTTTTAATCTTAACCTCAATTTTTTAGGCAAAACAAAAAACAAAAATTATATAAAAAAATTAAGTCTAAAAGTCTGTTAGAATTTATCTTTTTTAATTTACCTATATATATATATACATATATATATATATGATGAATTACACGTAGATGTAATATTATTGAGAGTACATATATATTTTTTCTAGAATTTTCGATGAAATTTGTTAGTTGGTGTGTATGATGTGTACACGTGAAAACTTTTATGCATAGGATATGATTCCATTAAAGTTAATATTAAAAAATTATGACAAAGAAAAACCTTTAAATTAAATTTTGGTTGCGCTGATAAGCTGACCAACAACAACAGAACGGTATGCATTCATACAAATATCAAATGTCGGCCAACCCTTATCTTAGGACCCACTGTCATGGCTTCACCGATGCTATGGTGCAGCCCCGGTCATCGGATGAAAAAAAAAACAGGGGGCTTAAAATAAGGGATTATCTATATCATATTTAAAAATTAAGACCACCAAGTCTACTTTTCAAATGGCTCATATCGGTTTGATATATATGCAGCCTCATGCCTCCACCTTATCCCCTCCCTCTCCTCGCTCAAATCGGCATGCTCGTTGCCAAACCCCTTGTTCATCGCGCTACACTAGTGAGCCCTCCCATTCCTCCTCCCCATCTCCAGTGGCTTATGTAACCGCCGCTCTCGTCTCCTAACCTCTCCCGTTCCCTCGCCTCCGTCCACCTCTCGTATCCATCACCCATACCAATTTGGTCACTGCTATGGGTCATGACCCAATTACCCAATCCCAATCTCAAACGCCAATTAATTCATTCATAGGTTCTCAACGTCAACGAGGATCACTCTATAGTTAAAAGGAGAAGGGTCCGAGTGAGTTTTGATGCGGATACAATGATCCAGTTTTCATTTTTTTTAAAAAAATATACATCAAAATTTCTTAGCATTTTCATTTTTTTTAAAAAAAGGGTCAATGAGCAGCCGAGCTGAAGCAAGAAAGGCAGGTCAAACACAAACACCAGTACATCACTCTGACCGCCCGGCACACGGCGCTTTCAATCACCCCCACTCCACACTCGTTTCCAACCATCTTTCCACAGATGAGGAGGCCTTTTGCCACCATCACCCCCTCATCTCACATGGCACTAGCACTGTGCTAATGCGATGAGTGCATCCATCAAACACACAGCAGCAAGCAGTGGCCGTCTTGTCTTGTGGCATCTGTTGTTTGGCCTTCGATTCCGTAATGGCATCGTCACCTTGCAATTGCAAGCTTGCAAACATTTCCCCGGGGGTTGAAATGGTCAGAGCAATTGCAACCTACAGCCTCCCAAAGTTGGGGTCCCCCCCCCCCCTCCTACTACCTCCCTGCCTGGCTGCCTCCCAAGTTGCTGTCAACAATTTACTCTGAATAATTGTGTCCTTTTTTCGGTGTCTGATTCTATTTGTTCTTGGGTAAGTAGTGAATCGGTTGCGATCGCAGAAAGACCTAGCGGTGATATGGAAATTTACCGACATCAGTAAGACCGCGTCGATGTCTAAAACGATAACGTTGTTAGGCTGCGTTCGAGAAGGTAACTTTCCTATCCTTTTTCGCCACACACAAGATGAGAATAGTTATTAGCATATGATTAATTGGTATTAACTATTATAAATTTAAAAATATATATTTTTGATTTTTTTAAAAAAAACTCCTTGATAAAGCTTTTTTACATAAAACGGTATGGTTTAGTAGTTCAGAAAGCGAGAACGGTGAGTTGGTAAAAATAAATCGGGAGACTGAGCCGAAATTCAGTATGGAATTCACATACATAAACACTCAATAGGAGTAGAAATTGGGCCGGTCAGCGCCGGCAGCGCAAATAGGGGAGCCATATGGAGTACAAGACAAGGCGTGAATGCTGGGGAAGACGAGCAACTTGATTTGGTTTCTGACCAAATTAAGAGAATATCTGGAGGTTGGGGGCTTTCACACCTAATATTAAAAAAAACATGTTCTTTTCTTCACCTTTTTAAACAAAAAAATCCCCTTTCCCTATATAAATAAGTAAAACCCTATCCTGTTCCTATATGATCATCTTGTCAGTCAGCAGGATGCCATTGACTGGATTGTAGTATAACAAGATGGATGATGCATATCAGCATTTGCATCACCTTCATCAATCCTCTGCTTGGTATGTTGCTGTCACTCCCTGTGAGCCTGTGGCCAACTGAATGAAAAAAAAAAGGAAAAAAAAACAAGCCTTTTTCCCAGCAGCAGGACAGCCACTGGCGCGCACATCGATCCATCGATCACCACTTCACCACCAAGAGCCGAGCAAAAAAGCTAGCCGGAGAAGAAAACCAGGAGGCGGCGGCGGCGGCGGCCGGCGACGAGGGAGAAGCAGTCGCATGCGGCCACTCGGCGGCCATCCGGTCGCTCTCGCCGTGACAGCAGCAGCAGCAATTGCAACTCGCCGAGCTCATCCAAGACAACCCTATCCATGAGGCAACCATGCTCTTGCTCATCAACAAGTACCTGTCCAGGAGCAAGAACCCGGCAGCCGGCGACGACAAGGAGATGCCACCGCCGCCGCCGCCACCGCCGGCGAACGGAGCGGAGCGTGAGTTCATGTGCATCCCCGGCTGCGTGCCGGTGCGCGTCAAGAGGGGAACCACGACGACGACGACGACGACGACCACGGCGAGGACGTCGCGGCACAATTTCGTCAAGTCGGCGGCGTCAGGGCTGTTCCCCGGCGCGCAGTTCACCAACCACGAGTCGCTCCCGGCGATGGAGGAGGCGTACGCCGAGTTCGTCGCCGCGTTCCCGCAGTACGCCGGGCTCGCCCAGGCCGACGCCATCAGGGACGGCGAGTACCAGCACCTCGACCGCCACGTGTGCCTCGACTACACCGGCATCAACCTCTTCTCCCACGCGCAGATGAACTCGTCGGTGCCGTCGACGTCGGCCACGCCGCCGGCGTCGTCGTCGGGCGCGGCGTGGCAGCCGCCGTTCTTTGACATCGCGTACAAGTCCACGAGCCTGCGGTCGCAGGTGCAATGCGGGGACGACGTCGCGGCGGCGTCCGCGGCGGGCGGGATCGGCGGCGCCGTGACGAGGCGCGTCATGGCGTCGCTCAACATCCCCGACGACGAGTACGCCATGGTGTGCACGGCGAACCGGACCACCGCGTTCCGGCTGCTGGCGGAGTCCTACTCCTTCCAGCAGCACGGCAAGCGGCTGCTCACCGTGTACGACTACGAGAGCGAGGCGGCGGGCGCGATGGCGGAGAGCGCGCGCCGCCGCGGTGCGGAGGTGATGTCGGCGACGTTCGCGTGGCCGGGCATGCGCGTCCACGCCGCCGACCTCCGCAAGAAGCTGCTCCGCGGGAGGCGGCGCGGCGGCGGCGGCGGGCACCGGAGGGGGCTCTTCGTGTTCCCGCTGGTGTCGCGGATGACGGGGGCCAGGTACCCATACCTGTGGATGAGCGCGGCGCACGAACAAGGGTGGCACGTCGCGCTCGACGCGTGCGCGCTGGGCACCAAGGACCTCGACACGCTGGGCCTCTCCCTCCTCCGCCCGGACTTCATCGTCTGCAACTTCTTCAAGGTGTTCGGCGAGAACCCCTCCGGCTTCGCGGGCCTCTTCGTCAAGAAGTCCAGCCTCGCCGCGCTGGAGCGCTCCGTCATCGCCCGCAGCATCGGCATCGTCAGCATCGTCCCCGCACGCCGCTGGTCGCTCCACGACGGCTACTCCACCGAGCTCGACCCGGTCGCCGCGGCGGCGGACGACCTCGACACCACCAGCTCCTTCTCCGGCCCACTCAGTGGCACCCTCATCGCGCTCACACTCAAGAACGTACCGGAGATGGACGCCGCAGGCGAGGAGAACGGCCACTCGCCGGAGATCCGCGAGGCCGATCCGCCGCCACCACCACCGCCAATAATGGAGGTGGAGTGCAGGGGGCTGGACCACGCGGACGCGCTGGGGCTGATCGCCATAGGCAACCGGCTGAGGTGCATCAGCAACTGGCTGGTGGTGGCGATGCAGAAGCTGCGGCACCCGCAGTCGGAGCAGGGGAAGGCGCTGGTGCGGGTGTACGGGCCGCGGGTGAAGTTCGAGCGGGGGCCATCGCTGGCGTTCAACGTGTTCGACTGGAAGGGGGAGAAGGTGGCGCCGCCGCTGGTGCAGAAGCTCGCCGACCGCCACAACATCTCCCTCACCTGCGGCTTCCTCCGCCACATCTGCTTCTCCGACAAGTACGACGCCGACAGGGCCGCCGTCCTCGAGCACATCGACGGCGGCGGCAAGAGGAAGGACGCCGCCGGCGAGATGGGGATCTACGTGGTGAACGCGTCGCTGGGGTTCTTGACCAACTTCGACGACGCCTACAGGTTGTGGGCGTTCGTGGCCAAGTTCTTGGACGCCGATTTCGTGGAGAAGGAGCGGTGGAGGTACACCGCGCTCAACCAGAAGACGGTGGAGGTGTAGCCGACATGTCCATCCACCTTCAGCTTCCACCATTGGTACACTTCACTGTCACTGTCACTGTTCGCCATTCTTTTGGGATCAGCTCGATCGGCTGTGCAGAGCTGCTCCGTCCATTCTTTGTGTGAGAGAGGCTCGCTCCAGTGTGTTCATGATTATACTGTAAAATGTAGTCTTTGCTTCCTTAGAAAAAAATATGTGCCTATTACTTGTTCGCTATACTGAAATCATTTGGTTGCCATCTCCAGGATATGAATTCTGCATCATTGTTTCAAAGCAGAAAAAGTTACAGCTATTTTCTTTTATCTGCTCAAGACTTAACTGAATTTTTTAGATAAGATAAAAATTACATCTTCAACGTCTGCATCATAAGATGCACACAGCCAACAGTTTTGCAGGATATTACTGAGAACAATAAAGCATGGGGAGGGAATTAGCTAGTAACAATGAAGCAATAGAGCTAGAGGAAACAAGGATACTAGGACCTAGTACTACTACAGTACTACACAAAGGTTTATTGTTCAGCTTAAAGTAAAAACAAGCTGAGGGGCACGAGGGGAACAATGAATTATTGGAAGATATCTAGACTGAGCACTCTAAGAATAAATACATCAAACTGAGCAACAAGATGGCTAATAATGCGCGTGAGCTCACAGCATTCTTGGCACCCAATCAGTGACCGTTTGCAATGCCGTTGCAGCCCTTGATTTTTCCCTCGGCGGCTTTCTTGTCATAGAACCTCCTGTACATCGAATCAACTTTTGTAAGATAGAATGTTCCTGGTGGCAACAAGCTGGTATCTTTGCTTGTTTCAAAATCTTTTGCTCCATAGCGGTGCTCCATCAGCTTCAATGTCTCAATAAACTTCTCAGGTGAGGTCTATTATAACATGTAAAGGAACAAGTTAGCTTGCTGTAGAGAAATCACACTAACGAATGGACTATTCAGAGATGACTACAGCGGAGCATTTCACAATCAGCAAACATATAATATCATGGAAACTACAGTTGCATCACTTTTTATACGAACAAATCAACTAGTGGTATGTAGCCATCCTTAACAAAGGCAATTTTTAAAATGCTTGAAACAATTAATAACACCCCCCCCCCCCCCCAAGAAAAAAAATGTTGAGGTAAACCTATCCAATAGTGACCGCCCTTGCCCTTTCTTTCCCTGGTGACAGGTTTGGTGGTACAGTATATTTGCATAATTGCATTTGACCAATTCTTTCATCAAATAGCGACGTGGCCATAATGGAAATAAATTCCAAAACCATGTCCGATCATACCGCATGTATGCAACAAATGTACATCATAATATGCTTTATCGCATGGTCATATAATTATTTCTATCTGCAAGTCCACATTAGCAAACTGGCTGGGGGTTGTGAGAATGGAAGACCATACCACATGTCTTGACTCAAGCTTTGTCGTCACATCAAGCACAGAAGCAATGTTCATTAAGCTAAAGGGATGTTGACCATCATGTAGTCTCAACGAAAACATAGTGGATGTCAATCCACTCCCATAAGAAAACATGAGAATTCGCTGGCCATCCTATAAAAGAAATATAATTTAGCTACGAGGAATGATAAAAAATGATGAGGTGTGCCATAAATAGCAAATACATTAAGCTCACCAGACTGTCATGCTTGTTGTAGATCACAGATGCCAATGCAGCATAAAGAGATGCAGTGTACATATTACCGATCTGTTTTGGAAGCAGAGTTGATGGTTGAACTTTGATATCATACAGATGCTTTGCTACTTGTTGAGAGGCCTGAAAGTTTGGTAGAATGGAGTTAACGTTTACATCAATCAAGGCATCAAGCATTTCAAGAAGTAACATCCAACAAATAAGAATGGACCTTTTCCAAGTCACGACTTTGGTAGCTTTCTTCACTAGTCAAATTTGCAAAAGGCTGAAGCTTCTCTTTAGCATCATTATCAACCGTGCTAATGTTCATGAAAAGAAAAGAGACAAGAAACATCAATTAGGGGCCATGGCATGTCAGATTAAAAAAAAAAGAATTATGTATCACCCAAAAAAAAAAACAGGAAGTCTCCTCAAGAGCCACATAACAGTACTACCTCCGTTTCAGGTTATAAAACTTTCTAGCATTGCCCACATTCATATAAATGTTAATGAATCTAGATACATAATTATATCTAGATTCATTAACATCTATATGAATGTGGGCAATGCTAGAAAGTCTTATAACCTGAAACGGAGGAAGTATTTGATATGTAGCTCAAGAGACTACATCGTAAGGAGTAAAAGAAAGAGCCATGGCGTGGATATTACAGACCTGCAATTACGCATGAAGTCATTGAAATAAAGTCGGGCGAAACTCTTTTGTACAAGCTGTCATAAACCATAATGCAACGAAACAGTAAGCATTCTCTGAGAGTTGAGAGGACAGGATGGGCAAATCTAAACCGCATTCGACAAAACGCTTTGTCTTGGAGAGGTGTTCAGTCATCATACCTTATTATATGGAGAATGGAAGACACAGTATTCTGCATCAGAAATCGAGAATTGTTCTCCCACTATCTTTTCATACCTATTGTTATCATAGTACAAATTGTTATTGCTTGAGAAGGTTAGTATCTTAATGTAGTACAATTCAGGGGGATAATGGCATTAGACTCACTTGGTACAATATTGCCTATAGCACGAATCAAGAGCCATCAGATAGCATGTCTGAGAAAGTTTTCCATCAACAACCTACAGTATGTCCAGATGCAACAGTATTGTAAGAATACAATACTATGAAATGAATAACCAACAGCATAGTGTAGGATTGAGAAAAATGACCATTGTCATTCACAAAGAGAAGCACATGCAAGAATAGAATTCTAACCGGGTATTCACTTGCAAGATCAGGCTTGTAGAAATCGTAAACATGGGCCATGTGTGAAGCCCTATATTTACTTTCAAAAGAAATGGGAGCATTCGGACCAATAAGCATAGCAATAGCAGCAGCACCACCTGTTGGACGAGCTGGCCCTTCTGCATAAACCTGATCATAATAGTTGCATAAAATGGGCCATTGAATGAGGAGAGCTGCACATGGACAGAAGCAAGAGAAAACTGAAAATAACTGGAAGGTGATATTGGGTAACAAACCGCGCTATCTGTGCAAACAACAAGACCGTAGCGTCCATCCCAGGATTTACTTTCCACCCAATTAACACAATTCAACAGGGCAGCTGTTCCACCATAGCATGCGTTACTTGAGTCAACCCCCTCAATGTCAGTATTGCCACTCTCCTATGTTTGAGATAAATGTTAAGAATAATGAATCACTGTGGCTAAAATGTACAGCTAATAAAACAAATAAGCTGAAACTGCCTATTCATCAAGAGATTCTGGACAAGAGGAAAGGTAGTAGATAAAAATAAATCAATTCAAAATATGATAATTGCATATCTGGTTCAAGCCAAAAAGAAAATTCATGTCTGGGTTAGGTGGGGTTCTTATTTTAGTTAGGGGGGAAACCAACAAACCTCGAAAATATGCATCAGCCATGTTTTGATGGATTTGCTTTTGTCTATCACTGTCTCACTACCAACCTCCAGGCGGCCAATTTGCTTAGGATCAATGTTGTACTTTTTCAGCAGTGATGCAACAACCGTCAAGCTGAAACAACATTCATTCTGAGCATTCACATACAACTACCAACTACAGAATTGCATGTAAAAGAAAAGAAGATATTTATTGCTTCGTGAATTCAATCTGTTGTGAAACCCAACACAGATAAAATAAGGGGATCAATATAACAGATAAGTTGTTCAAACAAGTTAACAAGGGAGATACCTCATAGAGATAACATCTTCCACCTCGCTGCAATAGGCCATGCAGTCCTGCCCAAGACCAATTGTGTACTTACCCTTGCTGGCTCCATCGTGCGCTTCCAGCGCTTCCTGCAGCAATTTGTTAAACACATGAACATTCAACTCTAAGTGTAACAAAATTCTGTCAAGGGTAATCTGCTCTAAAAAACTAGAACCAACACAGCATAAATAGCATATTATCATTCATTGATAAAATCTAGAACCAACGCAGAATATTACAATATTATTATTATCCGTTGATACAATTATCCATGCATTGTTAGTAGATAAACTCATCGGACTCTTCCCTAATGCAACACCAAATGCCATGCTCTGTTCGCTTTCTGAATACCAGGCACCAGGTATAATGCAGTTGAGAGCTGATTTCACACACTCTATGGGGAAAAAACCGCCGCGCTAATGATCCACAAATCTAGGAAAGTGAAAGCATTGGGAAACGAAGGTTGAAACGTTTACGACAATCCCACTCCTGACGATCTCAGCCATCTCCTCCAAATCCAGGTTTTCACCCATCACCCATAAACCCCCGCCGCGGTAATTTCCCCCCAAAACAAACAATTGTCAAATTTTGATTTGAAAAAAAAAAGAAAAAACAAACAAACCATCCATGATCTCCACAAGCCTCCTCGGATCAGCCAAGCTCGCCACGCCAGCATCGCATCACATCGCAGCAGGAGAGGAAAAAAACAACGAATCGAACGGAGATTTTGTTTTTTTTTTAAGATTTTTTTAAAAAAAACAAAACTCGTGCGAGAGAGAAAGCTCACCTGGTGGACGCAGGCGGGAGGGAAGTAGATGTCCATGGCGAGGATCCCGACGTCGTTGGGCTGCTCCATCTCGCGATCTCTCTCGATCTCCCCTCCGCTTCCGCGTTTCGCTTCTCGAAGTGGCTGGCTCGCGCGGGCGCCGCCTGAAGTGTGAGGGGGGCGGGGGCTTGACGACGGAGCGGAGCGGAGCAGCACGTCGCGTGAAGGATGGAGATGAGACTCGAATACGGATCTCGCGTCCTCCTCTCGTGGAAGTGTGGAACCGGTCTTTTGTGAGCTGCGTGTGACTCCCGTTCAGCTACGGCTGCTTTGCTTGCGGCTGCCCACGACGATTGCCCAGCTGGCATCATCACAGATGGGCCACGACGGAAACAGGAATAAAAATTTATTATTGTACAACTTTGAGACCACACATGCGTTTTGTCAGCAATAAGGACAGTACTATTTCTTTTTCTGGTAGGAGGAGAACAGATTAGTGTCTTAAAATATGCTCCATGCTCGGTAAAAGAAACTCAAAACTACGAGAAAACATGTTTTTTTTCATATTCGTGTTACTAGGATGATTTTTTTAAGGATGAAGGGAGTAAAACTTTATCAATCCAGATTCGTTGTATTGTGATATATCCTATCTAATACCATACTATTTTAGAACAGAATGAGTAAACAACTTAGTAGGAATATACTCCTTTCATTTAAGGAAATAAAAAAAGTATCAGACACGATACATCCTAATCCTATGGATATGGATAAGAATATGTCACATCCAATATTAGATTTATTTACTATTTGTTTTTTCATATAGGGAGAATGTCACACAAAGAATCTAGACAACTATCCAAAATAAAAATACGTTGAGGCTGTAGGTCCAAATTCGTAGTTTTATGATGGGTCTTATTCTATTCTAGATTGGTACCCTCCGTCTCAAAATATAAGTATTTTTAGACTAGTGTTAAGTCAAACTTTTTTTTTTACTTTGGCCATTAATAGTAAAAAAAAATAAAAAGAGATCAATCACGTAAAATTGATGTTATTAGATTTATCATTAAACAAACTAGAAAAAAATATGCAACTCTTTTTATTTAAATCAATTTACTTTTATAGATATTGTTGGTCAAAGTAGCATATCAAATATCGTGTCAAGATCCAAATATACTTATATTTTGGGATGGAGGGAGTACATATTTGGATGGAGACAATATACAAAGAGTAAATTTCATCACCGGTCCCTAAACTTGTACCGTTGTGTCATCCCGATCCCTAAACTCGCAAATCGACCGTTCAAGTCGTTCGACTGTGTTATCCCGGTCCCTAAACTTGCAGATCACTCGTTTAGATCCTCCAACTTGTTCAGTTGTGTCACCCCGGTCTCTAAACTTGGATTTGAATATCATCTAGGTCAAATATGATGGTCTAAAGACTTTATATTTAAAAATAATTCATAATTTTTTCATGTGAACTCTAATGAAAATAAACTTTATAACAAACTTGTAGCCCTCGACACGATCTACAACTTTGTGGTTGAAATTTTTTTTATTTTAAGTCATTTTTTGTCCCAAAATGTAATTTTAAAATTAAAATTTCAAAATCTATAAACATGCAACAATATTTTGGGACCCTAAATAGTTTTAATTCAAAAACTTTTTAACTACAAAGTTGTAGGTCGCGTCGAGGGCTACAATTTTGATATAAAGTTTGTCTTCATTAGAGTTCACATGAAAAAGTTATGAATTATTTTTTGATATAAAGTTTTTAGACCGTCCTGTTTATGGACGGGGGTGACAAAATTGAACAAGTTGGAGGATCTAAACGAGTGATCTGCAAGTTTAGAGACCGGGATGACACAGTCGAACAAGTTTGAGGACCTAAACGGTCGATTTGTGAGTTTAGAGACCGGGATGACACAGCGGTATAAGTTTAAAGACCAGTGATAGACTTTACTCATATACAAATGAATACTAATCAATTGAGTAACTTTCGACTGAAATACTCTCTTCGTTCAAAAAAAATTAACTCAATATGATATGTGTCACATCAAACAGGTGAAATTTGAATAGGAGCCTGACCAGATTTCTAGTATATGACGAGTTACATCTCATATTAAATAATTTTTTTAGAATGCAGGAAGTGTGCTAACGTTTGGCTGCGACTTACAATGGAGGAACGTGTTTGAAGCAACGAAAACTATTTGTAGGTTACTTTTTTTATATAATTTTCAAGTATTAGTAAATCCAAAATTGATAGCAGGATGAAAGTGAATTGAGAAAATATCCTAAATTAAGTAACATAATTAGAATTGGATGCACTTTATAAACCATAACTTAAAAACACAGATGGTCGTGAGATGAGATGTTTTTGTTAGTGGTATACGAGTATTGGTACAGGGTGTGATCGGTTAGATGCATGAACATTGTGCTAGTTTGATTTCCTGATTGAAGTTTCATAAGTTAAAATGTTGGTAAGTTAAAACTAAATACTCCAATAGAACTCTATCATACCAAAAATTTCCAACATATGACTGGTGCAAGAAAATTAATTTCTAATATCTACTTTCAAGGCATGTTTTTTAAAATAGCTGAATGATTTTATGATAATTATTGTTTTAGAGGAAATTTTATTATAACTATTATAGAGTACAAACGAATGAATTAACTATCGTAAAGTTGCAAAATTAGTTTCCAAAAAATATTCACATATATAAAGCCTTTGTGAAAATCACAATGTTTAAGAGCCCGTGAAGCATTTCATTGCTTAGAAAAGAACCCACTAGTGGTCTACATGCTCTGTTCCAAAATAAATTCATTTTTCACCCCATCCCATATATACCAATACAAAACCAAAAGGACTAATATCCCTACTTCTACTTTACCTACTGTAAATGCAATTACTTTTTATTTTTATAACCTCCGATACAATAATTGCTCAAATATGAACCTACTTTTGGAAAAAATAGGATGAGTAAAAAGAACTTATTATGGGAAGTAGGGAGTATAGACAAGTTTGGAACTCTGGATTACAATATGTGAAAAGGAAATCCTGAATCTCTATTATTATAAAAATTGAAAACGTTTTTTGCCGGTATTTTGGTACGTCATCCGTATATGAGTCGGTTTTTAAGTTCGTTCGCTTTTGAAAATACATATCAGTATTTGAGTCGACTTTTAAGTTTGTTCGCTTTTGCACATACAAAAGGAGCCGTATAAAAAAATATTTTTAAAAGAACTCGCATGCTAACTTGAGATTATCATACTTCTAACTGCAGCTCATGATTTTCAAAAAGAAAATATATTCAAGCGAATTGCCACAATAAATTTCACCTTAACTAAAGAATAAAATAGTAATGAGATTAAAACAGTGTTCACCTGTTGCAACAGACATTTTTTCTAGTTAATTATAAAATTCAAAATAAGGCCAGGTTCAAACACGTAGGCCCTTTGACGTCAAAACATCCGCTGTACTAAATTTACACAAACTCGGCCTAGTGGGGTACCAATACGTGGGACAAACCAAACGGCCCACTAGTGTTGGGCTTGGACCGTACTGGTAGGAGAGAAAGGGGAAATGGGCTGTACCTATCAGGTCCATTGCATATAGGTTTTAGATATCAGGCCCATTTAATTAACTTGGCTTTGTTTCGAAGCAGCTAAGGTGCCTATCGTTTGTAGGTAAAACTTTTATAAATGTGTTCTTGGTGACTTAAAAACTAATGTTGAAAAAGAACTACGTTAAAAATATCTCAAAATCAATCTTAAAATTAAGCTTGAAAATTCAAAATTTGACTTTTTCTTTGGCTGATTAGGCCAACCGATGGGAGCCTAAACATATTGTCAAGTAAAGGAGAGGAAAAAAAAAAGTTTTACACACTACAAAACCGTGATCCTCGCTGGCTCGCTGCACAGCGGATCCCGCACGATATCTCTGGAGACACGGGCCCAGATCTCCGTATCAGGTAGGTGGTCCCCACATCCCGCGTTGGATCCAGCTGGGCCAATCCGGGGCCCCTCCCCGGCCCCCTCCCACTCCGTCCCTCCGGATCCCCTGCTCCCGCTCCCCCGCGACGCTCGCCCACGCTACACGAACGCAAGCCACCACTCGCCTGCTGCCGCGTGTCCAAGCTTCCGGTGGTCCCTCCTTACTTGCCGCCGGTGGGCCCTCCCCACCACTACAGCCCCCACCTCGCGTATCCGGGCCCCACCTGTCATTTAAAGTGACCCCATGTTACTCCTACTACTATACACACCTTTTGAATATCCGTAATATTTTACTGGTCCAATATTTTCAAAGGTGTTGGGGAGTAGTAGTAGCTGGGAAGTCACGAGTCACGCACGGATGCGAATCTTAAGACCGGGCCTAATCCAAATGGCCACTCGTAATACTGGCTTAATTACTCATCAATGCGTTGCAAACTTGACTAGAGTACAGTATCATGTGTGTGGGGCCCACGCGAGGCGGCCGGGTCCCCCGTGTCAGGAAGGGTGAGGAAGCGACAACGCGTCCTGGGCCGTCGGATCCGCACCGGCGCGCGGATTAATGCGGCGGGGCCCGGTACAGGTCACCACGGGTCCCCACCACGACCCGGTTGGGGCGGTGGCCCCGGGCCACATCGACCGCACAAGGGACCCCACCGCCAAGTGAGACCACCCCCACCACTTGATAAATCCAACTCACCCCATTCGCAGCAGCGAAGCGAAGCGAGTGAACACACACCTCTCCCCCCACCCTTTCCCGCAACACGCGAAAAGAGAGGCGAGGCGGAAACAAGCCCGGGCTTTTCCGTCTCGTCTCGTCTCCCTCCCAAACCGAACCAATCCAATCTCTTCTCATCCATCCCCATGGAGGCGCAGGCGCAGGACAAGGCGGAGGAGGGGGAGGAGGAGGGCACGCGGCAGCAACACGCGCAGGCTGGGCCGGTCGGTGCGGCTGGTGGTGGTGGTGGGGGGGGCGCGGCGGCTGTGGCGATGAGCGCCATCCCCATGAACAGCTGGCTCGTGCCCAAGCCCGAACCGGTGGAGTTCTTCGGCGGGATGGCCATGGTGCGCAAGCCGCCGCCGAGGAACCGGGACCGGCACACCAAGGTGGAGGGGCGCGGGAGGCGGATCCGCATGCCGGCGGCGTGCGCGGCCAGGATCTTCCAGCTCACGCGGGAGCTAGGGCACAAGTCCGACGGCGAGACCATCCGGTGGTTGCTGCAGCAGTCGGAGCCGGCAATCATCGCGGCCACCGGAACCGGCACCGTCCCGGCGATCGCGACCACCGTCGATGGCGTGCTCCGCATCCCCACCCAGTCGTCGTCGTCCTCTGGCCCGGCGTCCTCCGCGGTGGTCGACGGTGAGGAGTCCTCGGCCAAGCGACGCCGCAAGCTGCAGCCCACGCGCGCGGTGGCTGGCGCGTCTCCGCTGGCCACGGCGGCGCCCGCGGCGTACTACCCGGTCATCGCTGACCCTCTCCTGCAAGGTAGCGGCGGCGCGGCGATTTCAGTCCCGAGCGGCCTCGCTCCCATCACCGCCACCGGCGCTCCCCAAGGCCTCGTGCCCGTCTTCGCCGTCCCGGCCACTGGCAGCCCCGCGGTCGCCGGCGGCAACCGCATGATCCCGCAAGCCACCGCCGTATGGATGGTCCCGCAGCCCGCAGGCGCCGCGGGCGCGGGCAACCAACCCACGCAATTCTGGGCCATCCAATCCGCGCCCCAGCTCGTGAACTTCGCCGGCGCGCAGTTCCCGACGGCGATTAACGTCGCCGACTTCCAGCAGCAGCAACAACAGCAGCCGGTGTCAACAACCATCGTCCAGAACAGCAACTCGGGCGAGCACATGCACTTCTCCGGCGCCGACTCCCACGAGCAGCAGCGGCGCGGGCGGAAGGAAGGCAACAGCGGCGGCGTGGTGGACCACCCGGAGGAGGACGAAGACGACGACGACGACGAGCCGGTCTCCGACTCCAGCCCGGAAGAGTAGCAAACACACACAGCACAACACAAAAAAAGCAAGCGAGGCGAGCACTCCACTGCACGCCAAAAAGTCCACAAGTCCCCCCCACACACAAAGCTTAGGTTCCTTTTTGCTCCGATTCAATTTCTCGATCGTTTCTTTCCCGCAATATTCCTCATCCTTGTCATGATGAACTAGTAATTACTCCCGCGTGTTGTGCTGTGCTGTGCTGGTACTACTCCTTACTTTCCCGTCCTTAGCTCAGTGTTTAGTCTTAGAGAAGAAGAAGATGATGATGATTTAGCATGCAAATGAGCAGTTGACAATTTGACATAAGATTAAGTCTAATCCAGTACTACTTGCTGTGACAGTGTGATGTGCTTGTTCGCTCTGATTTGATTTTGGAAATGGTGGTAAAGCTAATGGTAGGAAGGATGGAGGGATGGTAGAGCGGCCGGCACGTGCGTGCGGTGGGACCAGGGGGCGCTTTAACGCACACGGCCGGAGCCCGGCGGTGGGGCCAAGCCGGTGGTGGTTCGGGTGTGGCCAAAGTGGTGGTGGTGTGGTGGGTCAAAGAGCGCCCTCGCGGACCGTGCGGTGGCGAGAGTTACCGCCTGGCCATCACGTGATTGATGGGGTGGGCCCGCACGTTTGCCGCCGCGTGGTGGGGGCCGCGTGGGTGGGAGCGGTAGGTGGGGTCCAACTGCCTCGGGTGGGCACCACGTCGACACGTGTTGGGACGCGGGTGGTGGGGACGGTGGGCCCTTGTCCTCCTCTCCCCTATGGGTGGGGACCTGGTCTGGTGGGGCCCGAGGCGTGGGTGCCGGTGACGTGGTCCCCGCGAATATGCGCAGTTTCGCACGCGGGATCCCAACTCCGATTACCGGGATCTAAGACACAGACAGTGGTACAGCTAATGGCATTAGACTATTCCTAATCCAAGACACATAATTTTCATAAATTTTATTTCATCGAGAAACTAGTGTACTAAACACTACTCTTTCATGTGCACCACTTGTTCATATTTAAATTTAATACTATTTATCTCACATGATATCTTATATGTTTTGTAAAATCATATCACATGCAAGACCTGGTTTCTTTCTCTTTCCTCATTTATTAACTTGTTACGTTATTTTTCATTCTAGCTGGCAGCTTATTTAATGCTATGGACACCATTCTAATCATTGGGTCGAGAATTGTCTTATAAGCTTACCACCATTTTTCGTTACTGCTGTACTTATTAGAGCAGATAAACACATATCAAAAAGATAAAAGAAAAAAAAGAGATGAGCAGCGGGCTATAGATTTGTAGCCAGTTATAGCACGAGCTTCAAGACAAATGTATCTATGATAGGTGAGATCATATATTAATAATGTAGTGAGTATATATATTTACAGGTAACTAGTATATGAATTGGCTATTAAATTGACTATAGATGATTTGGAGCTAGTAATTGGCTATACTATCTCTAGCAGCCGTATTACCGCACCAACCATACCGCTTTTACTGATCAATTAGGCACGTCTCTTTCTACTACGTGAAGAAAAGCGGTTTTAAAAGTTAAAAAGCTGGATTTATCAGTTGCAAATGTACTTATGGAGTACTACTGCCTTCTGAGGTGGTATTTGGTTGGAGGGATTAAAGTGGAGCTAAACTTTAGTCCCTCTAAAAAAAAAACATAAGTCCATACCATAAGGACTTATAATTTTATGAGAGAGACTAAATTTAGTCTCTAGTTTCCAAAGACCCCCCGAAAGAGGTGGTAAAAAAACAGGTACAGTTATACTGCGATGCCGTTACTTGTCTGGGTCTGAGTACTCTGTACTGCTACTGAAGAAGAAGAAGAGGAGAAGGGACAAGGAGAAACCTTAGCCCGTATTGCTACTCCTCCAGTACAAGGATTAGGTGTTTGGAGAGTGAGGAGGGAGAATCGGAGGAGGTTAACGCAGAAAGTGGCCGTCTTTTCCCTTTCGTAATCGGCTAGCTTGGCTAGTGCGGCTCCTAAAAAACTTTCAGGTTCAAAGGCTACTACTGCTGCTGGTAGAGGAGTGGAGGAGTAGCGCGCCTTTGGTGAGTTGAGCCACTGCACGAGGCGGCACTACGGTGGCGCTGTTGCCGTGCGCCGTCGAGATGGTGGTGATGCTTTTGCGCAAAGGAGAGATCGACTCGATCAAAAGGAGAGTGCCGTTAATCATCTCTGGGCCTTGCGGCCTGATGAGCATTTGATGACGTGCTTTTATATACCCATCCTATAAATACGAATCTGGAGTCTAATTCTATCCTAGATTACAATATATTAGAACAAAAGGAGTAGTGTGACATACTTTTATAGTCCCATCGTAGAACTACGAATATAGAGGGCATGTTTGTTACAGCGAGCTCAGCTATACAGTTTCAGCTCCATCAAAACTAGGAGTGAAGCTGGATGGAGCTCTCTTACAAAATAAACTAGAGTTGTGGATCTGGGTTTAGAGAGCTCCACAACTCCACTCCAGACCCAACTCCTGGAGTTAAATTTAGAAGTTGAAGCTGTACCAAACAGGCCCGGAGTCTAATCCCATTCTAGATCCCAATATATTGGGACAAAGGGAGTAGTGTGTTGCCCATGCTAATACCCCGTCCTTGTACATGTAGGCTGTGTTTAGTTCCTTCCAAAGTTGAAAGTTTTGGTTGAAATTGGTACGATGCGTATGACAGGTTGATGTGATGAAAAAAGTTGAAAGTTTGGATCCAAAGTTTGGATCTAAACACAGCCATAGTATCCGTATAAATTGTGACCCTTTATTTATGGGATCTGATTAATGAAAAAAAAAGATGTAGCGGATCGAGTTCTGGTGTTCGAGATCAGGATAATCTCAAGTTCTTGTGTTGGAAGAAATCCTAAGTGCTAAAATGCCTGCATGCACCAATCATCCGATGGAACGGTCAAGGGAAGAGATCATGCCATCTCATCGATTAACGTCAAACATGGAGCTTGAATTGATTATGATCAGTATTTTTATTATGAGTAAGGTTGTCAACATTTCGTTCTGTATTTTAGTATATTACAATTCTACAAAACCGAAATTATGTCTATCGTAACTAATATTTTAATTTGTGATCTTACTATTCGTTTCCACGATTGTACGAAATCTTAGATAGTATCCCAATTATAAGATGGATTAAAAATAATATGAATAAATATGCTTAAACTTACATAAAAAACAAATTAAATTTATCAAAATCAACATTATATGATTTAATTTATACAACATATTATATATTTAATATAAAAACATACACTTTTTAAAATTTAATAGTATCCCATGATAATATTCTGATTCTATGATACCATAAAAAATATCCTATATAAATTTCCGATAATGATTACCATGTTATGGGTCGCTAGATTCATGAAGCTAAGGGTGTGTTTGGTTCACGGTCAAGACTGGATGGGATATGGCGGTCGATATTTTGTTGGATATGGGGATCCAGTTTTTTGATTAGTTGAGCGAATATGACGATCCAGTCTTTTTGTTTGGTTGTAGGGATGAAGATGGATTTGGTGATCCAATTTTTTATATGGTGAGTATAACCCCCATCAAATTAATACACAATACAAAACATAAAATTTCCAACAATTTACACTACTATCTCCATTATAAATACACATAGAAAAAAGAAGAAAAAGAAAAAGAAAAAAAAGAAAAAAAAAGGAAAAAGGCCGGCTGGATTTGGGCCTCTGGGGGCTCACCGCCGCTGCCGCCTCCTCCCGCAGGCGGGGACCTCGCGCCTCCTCCCGTCGCCGCCGCCTCCTCTCGCCGGCGGGGACCTCGCGCCTCCTCCCCCGGTCGCCGCCGCCTCCTCCCGCCGGCTCGCCGCTGCTCCCTTCTCCCCCTGATGCAACACGTCGTCGTCGTCGTCGCCGGGCACGCATCGGCCTCGCCGTCGCCGCCGCGCTTGTCGCCCGGGCCAGCACTCGCCGCTGCTCCCTCCTCCCGGCCGCAGCACATCGTCGTCGTCGTCGCCGGGCACCGGCCATCTCTCTCTCTCTCTCCACGCGGTGACACGACCGCTCGCCCGCTCGCCCGACTCGCCCGCTCGCTCGGGCGGCCAAATCCGCCCAAATCGGCCGGATTCATCCATCCGGCATCTGGAGGAAATATTCTCCTCTGGGCCGCCCTATCCCACTCCCACCCACTAACCAAACACCCATAAAAAATAGGCCGCCATGTCCTATCAACCCAAAACCCTCCATCCAAACACACCCTAAAGCTCACACACTAATCGACTCTGAACTTGCAAGCAGCAAATGCAACATGCATGCATATGTGCGATGCTCCATCATACGTGCATTGTACCTTTGTAATCATCAATCCACAGATCGAGACTCCGATTATCCAATAACGACCCTGCAAGGATTCGCCTGGACGTACGACGCTACAAGTACACATGAACGCAGTATGGATATAGCACACGAATGGCCAAGATGGAGAAAACTGTATCGTACAGGCACACGCACAATGTACAACTGTTGCCGTAGTTAACAATTGATCGGGATCGAATAATTGAAACACGTTCTTGATACAGCAGCGTAGCATATGAGCCGGTTTTGGCTATAGCACGCTGAGAGCACGTGTGAGAAAACGCAACGCATTGCCTGGTCCGTCATCAGTACTGACAGACTGACAGTGTCATACTGTGGCTATGTTTAGTTTTTTTTTTTGCTAAATTTTTTTTAAGCATACGGACATACATGGAAAGAATTAAACATAGACTAATAAAAAAAATTATAGATTACACCTGTAAACTGCGAGACGAATTTATTAAGTATAATTAATCCGTCATTAACAAATATTTACTGTAGCACCACATTGTCAAATCATGGCGCAATTAGGCTTAAAATATTCGTCTCGTAATTTATATGCAAACTGTGTAATTAATTTTTTTTTCACATTTAATGTTTCATACATGTGTTTAAACATTTGATGTGATATTTTTTAGAAAAAAAAAGATCTAACCACACCCTATGTACCCGTGACTATTGCATACAGCATACTGCCACTCTGTATCCTTCCGTAGTTCCGTCCAACTCTCAGGTTTCGCTCTCACGGCGCCTGTCAACAATATCTTCCCTGGCTTTGGCAGCGGTGTAGTCGACGTGTAGAGAGTAGTAGCTTTCTTCAAAGCAAACGTGTAGATTGCAAATCTACCTAAAAATATGCTCCGAAAATAAACGTTACTATCAAATCACTTCATCTTCCTCACCTATCATCTTTTTATCCTATGTTTGTATTTTTAAGGAGAAATGCAAAACTACCTCTATTTAATAATAATCGTCGACTTCCAATGTTTCAAGCATTCATCGTTATTTTCATAGAAATTTCAACATTCAACATTTTATAACATTTAACATATATTCATGCATAAAAATGCTTGTCATACACTTATGCTATGGAAAAGAGATTTTTTTCATTTTTAAATTTTTATTTTTTAATATTTTAAAAAATATTGTACTAGCGAAAATATTTACATAAGTAGACCCTGCCATCCTCGGAAAGTGCGGCAGGGTGACATGAGGGACGGGCAAGATGGAAAAAAAAGAAAAATGCATTTTTGGCAGGGCAAAAATTGCATTTGCCCCCTTACAGCCCTTGTAGAGGGCAACAAGGGACCTCAGTGCAAAATGCGCACACCTTGCCGCCCTTCACTTTGGCGGCAGGGACCATTTATGTAAATATTTTGGATGGTATAATATTGCTGTAAATATTAAAAAATAAAAATTTAAAAATGAAAAAAATTCTGGAAAAGACCTCATTGCAGGCCGGGGTCCACGTGATAGAAGAGACAGCCCACAAACGTCGGATTAAGTTGGCAGCTAGTGTCCTCGGCCCACTAATACGCAGCCCACAAGAGATCCCGCCAAGCCATGCCTTGGCCCACCGACCGGCCGCCACCAAACCGCCCGGTACGTGGGCCCGACGGAGTCATGCGTAGGAGTAAAGACGAATCCAAACCACGTCGAGGTGGAGGAAAAAAGGTACGAGTAGTAGTAGTTGCTGGCTTCACCACTGCTCCCCTCCACCTCCATCCAACTCCTCCTCCACCACCTCCGCGAGGGAGCTGAGAGCGAGAGCTTCCTCCGCAATGGCAGCGAGATCTCGCCGCGGCTGAAAGCTACGGGCCTACCACTACTACCTGCGTGCGTGCGGTGCGTCCCCCATAGGTGAGCTCGATTTTTACTCGTTACCTCGTTGGATTTGGTAACCTGGGGTCAATCGATCGGACTACTCGCCGGAGATGCGGGCGTTTTGGTTGGCGACCCGATGTCGCCGGTGCTCGCCTCGGAGACCGAGGAGGTGGTAGCAACGGTTGGCGGCGGCGATTTCGATTTTGGCGAGGCGACGGCATCGGAGCTGTCTCCGATTTGGGGAGGCGGCCCCGGCGATTTGGTCCCTTTGGTTTAAGGGCATTATCAAGCTAAGCCTCCGAGTAATCGGACGAGATGGATTTGGTTATTAGCGCCAATTTCGGGAGATTTCAGTGGGATTAAGCGCCCCTCGTCCTCGCGTGTCAGAGTAGACCGCGCCTAGAAATGTTCGCTACTGTGAGTGTTTTGAGATCTGAAATGCTGAATTCCGCGCAGTCTGAATGCCTTCGGTGCTCCTGCTCTTCCCTCCTGGAGTTTTGATGGTTTGGTCTCTTTGAGCATTCAGTCGATTTGCTTGCAGTTAAATCCGTGACTTCTTCGTTACTGGATATTTTTCATGAATTTACCCCATTGTTGCTTTGACTTTAGCCTCTTGGTGTTGTGGATGTGATTATATCAATTCCTCACTCTCATTGGTTGAATTGTCCATGCAGTTGTTCTGTACTCAAAACATGGCCCATGTTTCGTTCAAATCCAAGGAAGCTGACAGCATGTCCCGCTGGTCGAAGTACCTTAGTACTGAAGAGTCACCCCCTTCAGCATCACTAAGCTGGAGGGCTATGGGTGTCGATGGCCCTCAAGGTTCTGCAAGTGGCCAGAAACATCTTCAGATGGAGCCAGTTGTCCAACTGTCAAAGGTCGCTGAAGGATTGTTAGCCAAAATGTATAGGCTGAATAGCATCTTGGACTATCCAGATCCAAATGCGCACACATTTTCAGAAGCATTTTGGAAAGCTGGTGTTATGCCAAATTTCCCAAAAATTTGCATCACATTGTCAAAGAAATTTCCTGAACATCCTAACAAGCTGCAGCTTGAAAAAGTAAGAATTTCTTTAACTCCACACATGACTAATTTCCTTCTGAATGTATTGAACCTTGTGGTAACTCTGCTTTGCAGGTAGATAAGTTTGCTCTTGATGCGCTGAATGAAAACGCAGAAGGTTACATGCAAAACCTTGAGCAATGGATCACGGTATGCACTAACCGCCAACTGACAATCTTTTTAATTAATCGTAATCTATACAAAGAAAAAAAGTTCAGTTCTATTGGCTAATTGATTGTGTCTTGAAATCCACTAGGGAAATTGTGCTTTGTACATAACCCAAGGGTGCTCTGAACTCTTAAAGTGGCATTACATGACCTAGTTTTTAAAAACTATTTTCTGCATACCTGTAATTGAGCACACCCATACTTCACATTTGCGGGTTCGCGTGAAACATATTCAAATATATATTTGCCAGAGATAATAGCAACGCTAGTTTATATGTCAAGGGTTAGGGAAAAGTAGAAAATAGGAGGCACTGGAGGCGAAATTGGCCCTCGACATGGGCCTGTCCCATGTGTAACGAGGCTTTGATTGCCCAGGATAGGTGGGTGAACCTATTTCTTTCTCGAACAGTTAAACTCCCAATGCAATGCTAGGCTGCCTTTAGAGAATCAGGCATCTCTACATGAGGAAAGCAATGATAGCTCGGAATCAGACTCATCTAGAGAGAAATTAGGAAATGAACTCCAAATGCAACGCTAGGCTGCCTTTATAGATTCAGGCACCTCTACACGAGGAAAACAATGATAGCTAGGAATCAGACTCATCTAGAGAGAAACTAGGAAATAGTAACTATAAATAGATAGACAGCAACTAGGAAACTTATCTCCTAGCCAAATAGGATACCTCAGCCATCTCTGCTGCTATGCCTGATTCGACCGACTCGATCTTGTTGCACCACCATTTATGGCTTGTCCATATCTCCTGGCCACAACATTGGTGATGTGATTGCTTCCACCGATTGATGAAGAATGTTTTATTTTGGCTGCTTTAAGTGTATAACCATGTTGCCCTAAATCTACTTGATCATCAATTGGTTGGCATGTGAACCAGAAAGGAAATTAAAATTTGTTGGCTATTTTCAAATTCATGTAAAACACTATCAAAATATTGGCATTTGTTACCATGACTGGAATGGCATACTTTAGAAAACTGCATGCGAGGATCAGCTTGTTGATGGGTATTCAATTGTTTACATTCTGTTAACTGTTCTATTTGAGTATATTGCATCATACAAGTGAATACATATTACCTTTAAAAAGTATGCTCCTTTATTTTCAAATTTGATTAATTTTCTTTTAAATTCCATCCCATCAGTTGCTTCTTGATTTGCTGGAATTCCGTGAACAAGCTCTTCGACTTATTTTAGATCTGAGCAGCACAGTCATAACATTGCTGGTATGGAAACTCAGTTTGGGTGATGTAACTTGCTATATTTTTTTATTATCTGTAGATAATGACATTTCTACTTTTTTTCACAGCCACATCAGAACTCTTTAATTCTTCATGCTTTTATGGATCTCTTTTGCTCTTTTGTGCGAGTTAACCTTTTCTCTGACAAGGTAATCATTTATTTTATCTCATCCTTTAAAATACTCTACTCTATACCCAATTCTGATTATCTTTTGTACTTATACATTATCCTTCCTGAATTTCTGATTTACAGATACCAAGAAAGATGATCCTCCAAGTTTACAATATCTTGCATATCATGCTAAAGGGTGGCCGTGATTGTGAATTTTATCATCGGTAAGGCAGTAAGGGTGTTCTGTTATAGAAAACACAAATCCCCCCCCACCCAAATCAAAACCTTTAATGCTATCCTGTATACTTTCCTAATCAGCTCAAACATCTGAATACCACAGGTAGTAATGTATCTATTGATGATAATTGGTTCCCTCTGAGAAAAAAAGAAAATAACTAGGTAGCAAAAGTATAGTTCAAAATTTGTAGGCCAGAGAATACTGACTGTTTGACTTTTCATTGCCGACACTTCCCTTGCTTGTTTATAACTATTAGAATTCAAATATCTTGTTTATTAATTCTAAATTCATTAGTTGGTGCATGTTTTTGGGTTTTTAACTTAATAGTTTTATTATTGTTAGTAGCAACAGCTATCTACATACTTGCTTTTCAACTGCATCCCTGTGGGAATCCATTGCGAAGACCAATGACTTCATAAATTGTGTTGCTCTTACCAGTTAGATTCCTTTTATGGAATTCTTTTATCACTTGTTTCTCCACTAAGTTTTGTGTTTTATCATACACAGA